CTTTTTTTTTTCCGCCTCGTCTCTCCACAGCTTCACTGAGTATTTATCCACCGATTACCCAGCAGTTATCCCATCCATCTTTCTCCGATCCTGGCACTGACACGCTCAGAAGAGACAACTTGGGGTTTCAGTCCGTGATCCAGAGCTTAGTGCAGCATTAGATGCTTATGATGTCAGTAATCCTCAAGTTTGAAACTGGTCAAGAGCTTACTTTCTCCAGGATGGCTGTGTCTTTGCCCCTGAGAAGGGCGCTTGTTATATGTTTTTATCAATAAATCATCAACAAAGATAACAGATGTTATCTCTAAGGATTATCTATCACTAAATTCTGTACATAAGTGAGAGCTTTCCTCAACTTTTAATGAAATATGAATCATCTTAAACTTACAAACACATCCTCGTACAACAATTTGTAAGATGTCTTTAGCGAAGTGAAGCTGCATTTTAAATATCAAAGAAGCACATAAGGAAACATTTGGCTTCTCATACAGATGCACAAGGCAGCATCTGTTCAGCGTCACACTCAAAGGTGCCATTTAGCATATGGAAAACAATTATTATCTGTTCCAAGGTAACCTTTGACTTATCTCTTGAGGTACCCTTTAGCAGTTTATTTAAAGGCCTGTTTACATCTTCCATGAACATCCAACCAGGGTGATCGGATAACGGGTGGTCATTTTTAATGCGTGAACCCCTTGAGGGGCGGCACGGTCCGAAGGTAGTGGCTGGAGAGCCTGGCTTCTGCTGCTGGGACAAGGCTGGGACAAGGCCAAAAACTACCATTACTTTTCAGTTGTATGAATACTAGCAGAATATGAGAATAGGCTGAATCTTAAATTATCATGATTTGATCCAAAAAGGGGAACTGGCAGAAAGTAAGCTTAATGGAGCTCAGCGTAAGTTCAAGCAGGAGGACTGGTTATATTCTCTCACACATTCATTCAATTTCTTCATTCAACTTAGCCACTCCCTCTCTACCACTTCCACCATCTCCCTACTATGGTGATCAGCTGATTTGGGGGTATTTACTCTTTAAGTAATAATCCAACCCGATTCTTCCACAACCTCTCTCAACCAATCATCCTGTCCTGGTCAAATTTTAAAACCTGTTCTCTCTCTTCCACAGTCAGATTGCGATTTCAGTGTGATCGCTGCGACTCTCCTCCGTCCCAGTCACCTCCATTCCAGCTCAGCAGAGTTCATAAAAAGCCTCAGAAACCCACTCCTCATTGCATTTTCTATCACCACCACCACCAGGGTCTAGAATCTATAGAGGGGCATCCTATCCTGCTGTTGGCCCGCTACCCCTCTGAGTTCATGAAGTCATCATGACGGAGTCTATTCGCAAAAAAACTTGGCACATTTATCCTTTCCTAAACTGTTAGATAAAAAATTGTAAACTCTTATTTAAGTCTCTCCTAATTTAATTGGAGCAGGTCAGGATGTGTCAATGTGTCACCCATTTTGAATTTCACTTTTGGGACTTTTCTTGATAACTTTTTTGATGTTTAATTTGGGGGTGTTTGTACACATTGGGCTATGTATCAGGCTGTGAAAAAAACTTTTAAGATAGTGTCACCAGGCCAATAGATTAAATTTACTCAGTTTGCTATTTATACAACCAGACACTAGCTGGAAACATTTGTATTGATTGGGAGTCTTGTTCTGTCTCCATCTGATAAATACCGGTAAGTCCAATCTGCTCTCTCCTTTTAGCTTTGTTCTGGTCTCCCAGGTTAAATATCTGGCAATAAACTCCTATCTCCACCTACACACCTGCAAACTATCTGAAAGAAAACCTCCATTACTGAAAGTATCAGGTACTACCATTTGCAGGGCAAACAAGACAGTGAATCAGTCTCCTCTATCTCCACCTACTGTGTGAAAATTAAGAAAAAAAGGTCCTTATACATACATATTCCAACCAAAGTGGTCCAAGTGTTGTGTAAAAATAATTCCCAAAGGGTAAAAATGTATATCTTTGCATTTTCCTCTCTTTCTAACACGCTCTGGAGAATGTGCACACTTAATTAGTAGGCAGTCTTCCTGCAGAGCAATACGCCTGCCGGATGCTTGTCACTGAGGGATAATAGAGGCTGTAATTAGGTAAATATTGGGCTTTAGCATTAAAACTGAGGTCAGAAACCAAATCAAATAAGGTCGGAAATCTGTGAACATACGACCTTAAAAATTCTGTGTATAATGTTGGTGAGTTGCATTTGAAAGAATCTTTAGAAGCTCTGTTTATATTCTGGATTTAGATATCCCACCAGTGTGGGCATATTCAACAGTGAGTTTGAATCAAGGCTATAATAGGGAATTTAGAACATCTCAATTAGTCTTTGTCACGGCCCCAAGTTGAGATTTGGGCAGCTAATATGAGTTCATTGTTTCATAAAATAACTAATTCAGCTGTAAACGGAAGCAGGGCGTCAGGCGGCAGCCTCGTGCTGACATGTCGTCCTGCAGACGCAGAGAGCATGCGGCCCCAGGAGGAGGCAGAGCTGAGAGTTAATGATCTTTCTGTATGCAAAGGCCACGGTTCAAAAGGCACTGGGCAAGATAGGAAGAGGCAAAACCCCATTAACTCCATGACAGAGACTACTACCAGTAATACGCTCTCTTCTGCTTTCTTTCTCTTACTCTCCTCACTAACCTCCCTGTTTCTCACTCTCTTCTCTCCCTTTTTTGTCTCTCTGTTTCGTATTGGTCTATATATACTCAGGTCTGTGCTTCTTTCAAAGTCTCTCTTTTCTCACCCCTCTCATTCCCTCGAAGACTCTCTTCTTTTTTTTCAGATTCTTATTCGTCTATCTGCTTTTCTCTTTTTTACGTATCTTTTTTTATCAATCCGTCTCCTCACCTTTGCTTCTCACACTGTCGTTTCATGCACACTGAACCCCAATGAGTGAACAACCGCTTCAAGGTTATAGTTAAGTTAATGCATTTAAATGGTTCACAGTAAATCCAATTTCCTCTAAAGAACCAAATCATGTATGATTTTGCTTGCCAATTAACCCTTAGCTCTCTCATTTGTGTTTTGGTTAGGGGGAAGACTGGGACGTCAACACTGCAGACACATATGCAATGCAAAGCTGGACCTCATAATGATCATTGGTTGCTTGATAGCCACTTCCTATTGAAGATGTCCATTTTAACAAACTGTTTGCCTGATGAAGGCCTAGTACCGAAACATTGGGAATAAATGTTAGTTTGAAGGTTAGACATTGCATGGAGTTTCAGCACAGTTGTTTGGGATCATTAATGTCAAATGTAAAACGCTGTGTGTAATTTGTTGAGGTGTATTGGATTGATTTCACCATGTTGCAAGGTGTTCTGCTTGCCTATGTGGTAACGTAACTGCCTATGTTTTTATAACGGCCAGTTCAGAGGTTTTCAAAGCCTGTTTGATGTGCTTCTGTCGATGCTCTTCATGTCTGTTGATTGATATTCTGCCCTTTAACTAGTTTATTTTCCAGCTATTTGTATCTTCTGATCACGGTAAAGATGTCACCCTTCTTCGGAGGATTGACAAACATTTAACCCTTACAATGAACTGGTGTGAAAGTCTACAACCGTTTCCCTGTTCAGACTATTGATTGAAACGTTATCCGACAACTCCGGTAGACTAATTTATGTCTATATATCTCAGCACAGACTGAGAGTCAAAAGCACTCAAAAACAGGGCCACAGACAGGGCATGATATGTCAGAAGCACCCAGCAAGACACATACTAATGACCTGGACTTGCTGCCATTTAGTCCCTGTCATAGACGGCCAGCTTCAAAATGCCACCAACTGTGTGCATATAAATCATCAGAGCGAGAGATGGGGTCTTTAGCCACAAATGATTGTATTACTGTTATACATCCATGGAAAATACAGCCATCCATTTATTAACACAGTTAAATTGTATCATAATTGATTGTATTTGTAATTGACTGTATTTGTGCTATAAAGAGTCAGTCATTTTGGTGAATGTTATCCTCATCAGATTAGATCAGGATAAGAAGAAATCAAATACTATTTTACATTCAAACACACAAACACAATCAAACAGAAAAGCTACTGTCTGCTGGATTGCTGTTGTCAAATGAGATGGGTAACGGGGCATTAGCCTTTTGCTGTCACAGGGGAAATCCAGCTCTGCAATATAATTCTTGTCAAATCAATCAAATCGGCCCTAAACTGCTATCTGTCTCACTTAAGATTCCAAATTGGGGTGGTGACTGCTCAGACCTGAGGGACACCACTTCAAATAATTTTTTTCTTCAAATTGATTTGAACTGGGAAGACAATAAGCTACTGATTATTACCAATATGAGTGATAAGTGGAGCCTGTGTGTCGTACTCTTTCTGTGGTCAGGGGGAAAAAAAAGAGATGCAATATCTGGTTAAAGACCAGAAATATTCAAGCTACAAAGGAACATCACTGACAGCCACACCTGCATCACATAAAACTCCATGCTATACACAGAACAAGAAGAAAGGTGGTGAAATGATGCCACCTACTGCCCACACATAGAACCACCACAAGTAGAGGACTTCAGGAGTTGCAGTGGATAATCTACATTTGCTCTTTTATTTTATTCAAACCAACTATTCTACTTCAACTAGGCTACACTACATGTCATAAATGCGTTGCACTTTTTGCTCCCTCACAGGCTATAAATACGTAAAACTTAAATTGCGTTGATATGTTGTAAACAAAACAAACAAAAGCCAAAAGTATGTTGACATGCATTCCAGGTAAGTGAACAAAAGCCTACATAACTTTAGGTGCAGCTCAGTTGGCGCTGGAGTGATAGTAAACCAGCCACAAATAGCGGAATAAGCAAGTTTGAACAACCTCTGCATTTCACTTCCTCATGTAGGTTACATGCTCACACCCTCCGCCCCGCACAGGCAGACCGGGTCACCGGGTCCGAGACTGAGGTGATTCGGCTCCTGACTCCTACAGGACTTCGCCTCACTGCTTTGCCACCTGAAGGGTCAGCGCGATATCCTACGAAACCCGGGAAATGACGTTTGTGCAGACTGTGGCGCTGCAGGTAAGTTAAACTACATTCATTTGTTCTGTTCATGGCAATAGGTCTATGACTGTAGTTGATTTTACGAAGCTCACAGGAAGAAGTCTACTATTCGTCTACAGGTGCTGCCATTCTTCCGGCTACCTTTACACATTAAATTTAATATGCCAGACTACGCTCTCAATACATTACAATTGTAGCAAGGTGAGTAGCAGCTCGCAGGATTGGGCCTTTCTGCAGCACTTGTACAAGAGAAGCCCTAGAAGGCCTCTCTGTGTAGGCTATGTCTTTGAACATTCAGAAGAAACGTTCAGAGCTCAACAAGTCCTGACCTGCTGAGTGGGTTTGCACACACCCTCACCTCCAGCCCAACAGAGGTGCTCTTTGAGCTTGTTATGTGCTCATTTAAAAATGATACCTAAACTAATTAACTCTTCCTAATGGCAAGTGGCCCTTTTTTAATACAAATAAGTCATTGCCATAGCACATCATAGCCTAGGTCTACCAGATAAAGGTTTTCTAATCATCACATTATCTGTTTTTTTGCCTGCGGTTTTTCTTATTATTTAGGAGGATCTGCTTTTGGCAGATAAAACAGAAAATAAGAAATTCTGATTTGTCTATATCTTGAAAAAAAAAACAAAAAAAACTTCTCAGTCAAATAGAGAAATCCATGCCCGGAGGCCCTATGTTTCTGTTGTTGAACCTTGCAACGCAACAAAGACAACTCAGCTAGGCGTAATCTCTTTAATCTCTACATCCTTTATTTATCCAAGGAATACTGACTGAGTGAACAGTCATACTTAACACAAAAAAAAAAAAAAACTGCACTGGAGCTGCTGGGTTAAGTGTTTAGTAAGTAAGATAGCGTTTTCTGCCAAGTACTCTAGATTGAACCTCTCCGGTCACATTTAGGCACATTTTTCCTCATGATGAGAGACAAAAGCAAGACAATGTTTGAAAGTTAGCTCTAAAAAGTAACCAGTAACAATCTCCCTTGCAATGTAAAAGAATGAGATAGAAAATCCTTAGGGACAATTAAACAGCCAATCCCGTTCTAATCAAACTTGTCGGTCTGGAAAATAAAATAAAGCTCTGCTGTGTCTGCTCAGACATAATGATCTCTAGTGATAAGAACAAGGATAGTATCTCACTCACTCTCTCTCTCTCACACACACACACACACACACACACACACACACACACACACACACACACACACACACACACATACACATAAAAGGCTCTGTTTACTGGCAGGTTGTGGAGTGTGAGTCAGAAAGATAAGACAGGTGTGGTCAAAGCAACGAACATGTCTTGTATGTTCAAGGACAAAAGAAGAAAAAGAGGGATACATTTTCCCTGGTAGATGTTTGACTGCTCATTGAAATGTTTTCACTTAACCACAACTTTTGAGTTGCCTTCAAAGCAGCTTTTTTGGATATATAAAATGTTGTTGATTTTTGGAGTCAATGTGGAAAAAAAGACTGTTATTGCAGAAGAACTGGTCTGGATAGTGTGTGTACATGACTAAAAGAAAGAAGCATATTTGTATTTCTACACAGCGTTTTGCAGGTTAGAAAGTCATGTATTTATAAATCTATTTGTGGATTTGTTTGAGTTATAACTGTAATATAAAGAATATTTTTAGTAAACTGTGTACAGTATTGCTCATACATCAAGTTTAGCCTGCAACTATTAGACTGTTATCACCTCTGTGTTTCCCAAAAAACATTGGTTAAGGGAGTGTTTATTGTGTTCAGTGGACCCACTGCTCATGTCCTCTGAAGCCTAATAAATCTGATGTTATCCATATCAGCCATACAAATGATACTCTTGGGACTCTATAGCTTGCTCTATTGACAAGTTAGACATCAATAGATGTCCTTGCTTTATCTCCTCCACCTATTCACTCTCTCCATCATCTTCACTGCAGGTCCATCATGGGGCTCTTGTTCTCTGGGAGTCTTCATCTGCCTGGCCTGTTCGGGGATCCACCGCAACATCCCAAATGTAAGCAAGGTCAAGTCCCTGAGCCTGGCCCACTGGGAGGACCACGAGGTGCAGGTGAGACCATCGAGCCCCCCCCCACCCCCGCAACATGTTTCTGTGTTCTGGTGATAAAATACTGCTCTCTACTGGTGGGGGAAACAACCATCTTGGTTTTGTCTGGAGGTTACATAATCTGGCATCAAGCACCTCAATTTTAAGTAGAGGTAATTTGTTTAATCCAGAGAAGATTCAAGTGTATCCATAACATGTCTTCATTTTAATGAAGGTGACAAGGAGCAGCTGTCAGGCAGACAGAAGACTCTCCTGGAAGTCAGTAGCGCCAGCAAAAGAAACAGTCTGGCACATAAAACCTTTAAACATGTTACCATTGCAGTTTTGAGAACTAAAGTAATGATTTAGGAACTTAATTAGTTGCTGGCAGAAGGAGATCTTATACATTGGACAGAACTAGTGTAAGGGTTTCCCAGTTTCCAGTCAATCTTACACGGTTGAATTCAATTTAAATGTTTTATTGGCATTCAAGATTCAGGCGAAATGTGACAATGTACCTACAAACAACTTCATCAAGGTCATTTCTACTCATAATCATAAGCTCAGTTAACAATCTTTATGGCAGCATCCTTGTTTTTAATGCATTGATATAAGACTCAATCTTCTCCAGTCCAGGATGTGTTTGCTGAAAAGTCTACTTAAACTTAGCATAGAGCGATAGAAAGATCTATCTATTTCATGTTTGTAGTTCTTCCCTGTCATTCTTTTAGCTACAACAGTAGCTTTTCCTCAGAATTAGTCACCCAGTTTCAGTATAAAAGTTAAAGACTTAAACAATCACAAAAAAATGTATATTTCTTTGTTCCAGTTTCTATAGAACATTGTGCTGAAAAACGGTGTCGATTTAGCAATGCTTTCAAAAAGAGACCAACAAACCTTCAAATACCTAATTCAATTACAATAGCTTGTTCTTCCTTTGAAACTGCTACAACTGATTGTCTGAGTTCCTGTACCATCACTGAGAAAGAACTACTTTATCATTTATTTTCTACAACAACCGATCGTTGGTCTAATGACGGCTTATAATGTTATCTTTACAGCCAGGTGCAGATAAGTACACAGCTGGATTAAAACCCTTAAAAGAAGAAGCACCATTGAAAAGAAAAAAAAACTTCTTTTTAGGATGAAGCCTTTATAGAGAAATAACTCATGTTCAAATTGATTTTTAAATGTTAGGACATCGCATTCTTGGCCAGTACATTTCTCTGTGTTCACCAAAATGTGCAGGGGAGTAACCAGATAACAGGTGATGTTGGTACTTTGCACAGCTTCATCTGAAGACATTTGTTTGATTTATCTTGCTTGCTCTCTGATTTATTATTTATTGAACAAGATTTTAATTGTGTTGAGATGATTCTCCTCTCAAACTGATCAAGATTGGAGTGGTTAAAATGTCAGGTAATGTGAATAATGTTTTTTAATTACCTGTGTTTGTGTGTTTTAGTTCATGGCTGACAACGGTAATGAGCTGATGAAGAGTAAATATGAGGCAGCTGTTCCAGTTTACTACTACAAACCAACACACAAAGACTGCCAGTGAGTGACGATTGCAACCCACTAAGCATTTACTTAAAGGAGCAACGTGTAAGATATCTAGTGAATTAAATCATAAAATGACCTTACTATGTCATCATACATTAAGGAAACATGCTATGTTTAAGTGCTGCTTTCACTGACAACAATGAAGCCAGTATGTCCGCCTCCTAAGTTTTGATTCCGCTTCGGTGTTGTTGTTTTGTGTTAAACAAGAGAAGGTAGACGGTTTTAAGGCACCCCTACATGGCCGTTTTTGGCCACCAGGCAAACGACAAACTAGCAGGAGTTGCAATGATGGAGCGGGCAAGCAAACTGGTTCAGATATAACTGACTCTTCCTGACCTAAAAAGCCACAACATTTTTCTAATAAGCTCCCTGAACAGAAACGTTTGTAAATGGACAGAGGTTAGAATGCAGAAAGGTTTCAAGACAGATGCAGAGCTGGCTAAACACTGAAGCTTGAATGTCCACGACATGGCAGACATGTACCTGCATGTACATCGTCTCTAGAGAGGAGGGGGCGGGGGGAGACAGCTTTCTGAATTTGGACTGTAGTACCCATTTTAAATGAGTCAGAGTTACATATTGCTCCTTTAAGTAGAGACATTTAAATCATGATTTTATTCACCCGTAGTGTTAGTATCTTAAATGTTTTAGACTCATCTACGCTGTGATTTAACTCTTCGTGACAGAAAGCATTGTCTTGCTCTTTCCCTGAGCACAACCTAGTTTTGTAACACCACAGGTTTTAAAGTGACTTAATTGACAGATTCATTCTTTGGCATTGCATGTGTTAACTAATAACAGTGTTTGAAAATTTGATTGGTTTTTTTTTGTTTTAAAAGCTAGTCACTTTATACTGCTAATAGAGCTGCCTTCAACCATCAGCTGACAATGGACTATAGTCTAACCGTGTTTAAGTAAATTATGCTAATAACTACAGCCAAATGTAAGTCATTAAAGTAATAGCCTCCCAGGATTGTTGCCTCAGGTGTAAAGTCTTTACACTCCACAAATGGCTCCTCAGTATTAAAAAAATAATCAAGTAAGCCAAAGCCAACCGATGCCATTGTTGAAAGCATTTCTGCAGGATTTTTTGTGGTCTCTCTTTCTGCTGTAGTGATTCATTTTCTGTCTGTAGTTTACCTGTCCATCACACCACAACTGTGTAACACAATGTGTGTAATTGTAGCTGCACAAGGCAGCTCCCAGACAGGAATGTTTGGAATTTTATGAACATGAAGCTGGGATTCTTTTTTTTTTTTCTTTTGCTTTTGTGCAAGCAAAACTTCTCATGTTGCATGAAATAAGAGCAGCCTAGTAAACATTGTATTTTCTTTACTGAAAAAATAGAATGTGCATGTTGAGATGCAGGAGTAGCTCACCACTGTATCTGTTCAAAATCCCCTGAGGACAACTCAAACCTCCACACACTTCTCTCTCTCTCTCCCAAACACATATGCACTGACATTTCTACACACTTTTAGCACCTTCTGTGCTCATTGGTAATGAAAGCCGGTGCAAAGAAGGTTGGGAGAGATTGAGAAATAAACCATGTCTCTCAGACAGGAATGTTTGGAATTTTATGAACATGAAGCTGGGATTCTTTTTTTTTTTCTTTTGCTTTTGTGCAAGCAAAACTTCTCATGTTGCATGAAATAAGAGCAGCCTAGTAAACATTGTATTTTCTTTACTGAAAAAATAGAATGTGCATGTTGAGATGCAGGAGTAGCTCACCACTGTATCTGTTCAAAATCCCCTGAGGACAACTCAAACCTCCACACACTTCTCTCTCTCTCTCCCAAACACATATGCACTGACATTTCTACACACTTTTAGCACCTTCTGTGCTCATTGGTAATGAAAGCCGGTGCAAAGAAGGTTGGGGAGAGATTGAGAAATAAACCATGTCTCTCAGTCCTGGTTCCCTCTAGGATAAAGCAGTTAAATAAGGTTTAAATAAAAGTGGATAAACTCGACGGTTGTAAAAAAGATGCAAAATTTCATGAAAAGTGCTTTGGGTTGTGGTTTGATGTTAATTAAGAGCAGAGTTTTTAAATTGGATATAGCTCCAAATATGTTTTCATTTATACTAATACTTGTCACGAATCCTGAGGATAACCATAAAATAAAAACAAGAAAAAAATGAATTCAGCTTCATTGGCATTGAAAACATGTCAACTTTTTCAATGGCTGAATGTTTGGCACTGTTAAAAAAGAATAAAGAAATAAGGACATTTTCAGGGGGTACAGTTAAAAACACATTTCTAAACTTACATTTCCAAATACAAGTTTTCAAGAGTTACTATTCAATGACCAATGTGTTAGTTTCGTGTGCTGTTAGTTTACCAAACAGGCTCACTATTGACACATTATGAAGACAGTGCTGGACATGGTTGGTGGCTATTCAGAGTCTTAGTTATATATCCATTGTGCTAGCTGGCATGATTAGATTACTTGATAAAATAAATAAATAAATAGAAACTGGGAAAATAATTGTAAATGTTCACATACAAATTAAAGTATCTCAACATATTAAGATTCAATGATGTGTGGCATTACACTGCACTCTATGCTGTAATCCACCACCTTATGTGCTATACATGGTGTGTAAAATATTATGGGTTTTTTTATTCATGGTAGAGTATGTTTCATTATTTATTTATCGTAATATCTTTTCAGCCATCCAATTCTGTTGTGCTCGTGCACTGCAATGACAATAAAGGTCTACTTAATGATCATTATAATTACGTTTGACATTTATGTTTTGAAGAATAAAACACGTATAAAAAGTGTTATTATACTGCTGAAATAGGCATTGAATTTGTACTATAAAATATGACATGTAACTTCTGTAGCCAAACAGATGGTGCTCTGTCTTCTTCTTTCATGTATCATCCTTTACTGTGCATGCTCCCCGACTGGAAGCACGTCTGCCTCTACCCGCCACTTTTTTTTTTTTCAAGCTATAAGCATATGTTGTGCATGCACACAGGGTGCTGAGGGAGCAGTGGATCAGAGCAAAGTATGAAAGGAAGGAGTTCACTGAGCCTGGGAAGGCCTTTACATATGAGGACGGTGAGTATATGTGCCCAAAGACACTTGTACATACACACAAAAGCATTTGTGCTAATGAGTAATCTTTGCTGATTTCCTGCAGGAATAAGAGACGGCTTGTTGATGAAGAGGGGGCGGGACAACGGGCAGTTCCTCAGCAGGCGATTTGTCCTCTCAGTGAGGGAGGGGACTCTGAAGTATTTCACCAAATATGACGTAAGAGCAGCTTCATGAGACTTTACGTGGCCAAACGCAGCTGAAAACACACATTAGCTTCACACACACTACATAACACCAGTAACCTACTGTAATGTTGTAGAAAGTGTTGTTTGAAGGCAACACTCACACACGTGATACCTCAACACAAACACGTTAACTAGACACCACCAAATGTTCCCTCATTTCCAAACACACACACACACACACACACACACACACACACACACACACACACACACACACACACACACACACACACACAAACAAAAATAGTTATCTGCTAAATGTAGATGCCTTTCTCCTCTGCTGAGTCTGAGCGTGCTCAGACAAGCTTAGCCAGCAGTCTGTCCTCTCTGCCAGTGTGTTTGATTCACTAAGCTGTACAGCAACCCAACCAATTAGGGCTGGGAGCACTTTGTGCATACATCTTTTCATAGACATGTCTTGTTTTTAAGTCAATGTTTTTTTCTGTCTCCCAGGAGTATACGTATTTTACTCATATTCTCCTGGCAATAAACAGTGACACAAAAACATCCCTGTAGAGTCACAGAGGTGATGATAGTGAAAATGTTGATGTTGCTTCAGTTTGTAAGCCAGAGAGCAACAGTTTTAAGGTGTGAGACATGTTACCGCCTCACTCAAGTCCAACTCATTTCTCTTAGCTGAACTGTCACAGTTTAATTGCTGGGTTTTTTGTGCGTATATACCGAAAAAGTGTTTAATCTATAAATTGTCAAATATAAAAAACGTAACTGTGTGTTCTGGGAGAGTTAAGGGCAAGTTCACACAATGACATAGATCCTGTTCCTGTAGATGCTCATTTGGATTCATGTCAGGACAGATAAAAGCTCAGCTTCTACAAGCAGGTTTACTAGGATTATAGTGTCAGTTTTAGACATGGTTGTTGTCAGTGATGCTGACTGATAGTTAGATAAAAGCTTTACATAGTTGGAACAATATGGCCACAACCCTCAATCAATACACACCTTGACTCCATCACTGTGTTTTTTTTCTGTGATGAAAAAACAGTGACAAAACACAAGACTTTTCTTTCTTTAAAAAAAAAAAGGAAATTATAATTACAAGGCAAAATTCATTATTTAACTTTTTAAAGAAAGTACAGTCAGCACTGACATGGGCGTTGTACTGAACCATTGTGGTGAATTGACCGAGCTGAGCTGGAAACAAAACTTTCACTTTACCAGTCCACCTTCTCTGCTCCTTCCCTCCCTCTCCCCTGCAGGCTAAGGAGCCCAAAGCTGTTATCAAAGTGGCCTCCATCAATGCAACTTTCCAGCCTGAAAAGATCGGCAACCCCAATGGCATGCAGATCACCTACCTCAAAGACTACAGCACCCGCAACATCTTCGTCTACCATGACAACGGCAAGGTCTGCATCACTGTACTGTGTTATTGTGTGTGTGTGATGATCTGTGCCTACAACAGAACCTAAAAAGAAAGAAAATGTTAACTTACTTGAAGTGCAGCATTTATTGACCTGTGTTGACTGATTGGAGTTGCTGTGGTGGGTCTTTCAACCCTTTTTAAGCATCTTAAATCAATTTCTGCTGGCTGATGGACTCAGTTGGAGATGATATTGAATCACCACGTCAGTCATTTCATGTATTTCACAAGAATACACATTCAAATATTTGGAAGACTTTGGTGTTCCTTTTCGGATTAAGAAGATATTTGTGAAGGACTATAACTTACATCTGAGACTAGAAACTTTTTTATCTATATGGAAGCACACTGCTAGTCCAAGTAGTTTTTTTTTTTAAACAAACACTATATTAGAATACAATCTAAACAAAAAGGGGACTGCATATAAGAGAACCAAGCAGTGTACACATAAGGTCACATGTCTTTTTAATTTCAATTTAAACTTAATCAGAGAAAGCCAAATAAGATCCGCACACCAAGAAGCTCCTGTTTAAAGGATTTATTAAGTGACATTTGGAGCCAACATGCTCTCCCTCAGACTTCAAACGGGAGCTTCTTGCTGTTCACATCTTGTTTTGTTTTTCTTTCCTTACCCATTTGTGTTTTTTTTGGATCCAGCACCCAAAGAGGGATGTGCGTATCTTTTTTTTTGATTTTTCATTGAAATGTATTTAAAGTCTACTGGTGTTAAACTGCGTTTTCAATGAGACGAAGCAAAGGTCACATTTTATTTACAAATTAAGCTTCTTTGAGAAAATGATAGAATATTGATTTCAAGGAAGCATTGTGAGTTCTTTCATTTTCCTAATATTACTGTGTTGTATTATGTCCTACTTGTATTAAGCTCTAGTCAAAACGATTTCTCCTCAGGATCAATCATAACGCAGCTTGGAAGTTTATTTCTGACCCTGACGAGAGCAACTTATATACCTTACTAGTTATTGTAGGGCCTTTCAATTTGTGTCAGATCTTTATTACCTTCAAAAACTTGACTCAACCCTCTTGTATTTTTATTATCTACCTTTTCCAAGACTTACAAGGTGCCAACAAAAAAAAAAACTCATTACTTCTTTATGTGTTTCTCTCTGCATCCATTAGGAGATTGTAGACTGGCTGAATTCAATCCGTGCAGTTCAGCTTCACTATCTAAAAGTGGCTTTTCCTGGGGCGACGGATGCTGAGGTGAGCACACTCGAAGAATAGGGAAGTCAAAGGACGTCTATCGTTTGACATTGTTGAACCCTTTATATTCTGATTATGTTATTATTTATATATTTATTTTCAGCTGGTACCCAAACTTACCCGGAATTTTCTGAAGGAAGGATACATGGAAAAGACCGGACCCAGGGCAAGTAACACAAGCACAACAAAACATACACTCTTAGAACCTTTATCGGACATAATGTGCTCATTTGTTTCACATCCTCGCTTTATTTTCCCTTCTTCCTTTCATTGTGTTTACCCCAGTGCAGCAGTTGCCTCTTGAGATGCCAGTATATTTTTCTGAATCCAAAAATGTAGATCTTGGTGTATTACAAATGTTTTTCTCTACTGGGTAGCCAGTTTTAATAACTATTATATCAATTTAAAGATGAATTGAATTTCTGGGTTTCTGAGGCATTCGTTAACATTTACTGGACCTCCTCTGAAAGTTGCTAATTTCAGCCTCATGAATTTGTCAATTAAGTTAATACCTGAGGGTGTTATAGAGGTTGTAGCAATTATGGAGATTAGCAGTAATTACACTTGAAAGTCCACATATTAATACTAATTTAATGTCATGATTCCAGCTGAAATTACAATTTTTATTTATTTCCTAAAGACATTATTCTACTCCTGCAATAGTGAACTGACTGTTGTGCATGTAGAGTCTGTTTGTCACCTGCCTGTTAAATGTGCGTCACATGCCCCAGCATGATGCTCTAGACCGACGCTTATGTTGTAAGGCAGAGTTTAGTCGAGAGTATTTATGTTATCAGGAGCAACTCATCCTGGTGCTGGTTAATGCAGTGGCGACTTAAGTGGGATGACAATAGGTTGGTTGTTTACATTGAGCAGCAACGCCTGCAGCACCTACAGTGAAATGTTGTTTGAGTCACAGGCGGCTCAAGTCAAGGAGCTTTTGTTCAATTAGAAGTTACTATCACAGGGCTGATCATGCAGTTTTTATCCAAGAGCCATCACTGAACTGAACAAAATCAAACACTGACCCTAACCCTACCATGGGACAAATAATGGGACAAATAGTGCAATATTGCTACGACCTGCTTTGTTTACACATTTACTTATAAACTGTGCGTGTGTGTGTGTGTGTGTGTGTGTGTGTTTTTTACTGTACTTGTGTAGGTATATATATACGTGTGTATACAGATTTTTTTTTTTATTCTATATATATATTTTGTTTGTATTTCAGGCATGGCACAGCAAATGTTGTTGTACTCTTGTGCAATGACAATAAAGTCTATTCTATTCTATTCTGTTCTAAACCCTAACTTAAATTTTAATTAAATTAGCTGATGACATTTAAATAACAAATAACAGTAACAAGCTAAAAGACTGAAAAGCTGCTATAAGCAGAGAGATAAGATAATGGAAGGGAGGTAACATGAGCAGATTAAAGTTGTTTGTGATCAATCTTTGTTGATGCTGGTTTTCTGAAATAATTTCCTTTTTTAAAGAATATCACAATGTAAACCGCAGAAAGGAAAATCAATGTGAAATGTCCGTTTTTCCAATAATGTGCAGCCCTGGTCAAATCAAAATGTATAGTTTAAATAACTGATGAACTCTTCACTAACAACAAATCAAGGATCAAACTCGGAGAATCGCTTCCCCTCATACATAACGATAGCTGAGACATATTGTAACAAGAAGGATCTGTTCAATGCTTAAATCTCCTCCAGCTCCCTTTCTCCCTGCTTTAATAGAACAGGAGCTGGGCTAAGAGGTTAACTAACCCAGCTGTCAGTGTGGCTGCTCTACACCGCTGCCTGACAAGCTGACTGACAGCTGAGAGGTCGTACCTGCCTGCCTCATCGTCTGTCAGCCTGTCTGTGAGGAAATAAAAAGCTTCCAGTTGAGGATCCCTCTTAATCCTTTGGTGTCAAACCCTCAAAATGCACACTGCAACATGGACATGTGTTGGGTTTAAGCTAACACACAAAGAGAGACACAGACTTAATCTAGGTGTGTCAGGCTAAGAAATGAAAGGACTCGTTAACTTTGTGCATTGGCATGGATGTCATAATTTATTTCCCTCACACATATGTGAGACATATTTGTCAAAGGAGTCACTGGAGAATTGAAAGAGTAACAGTCAGTTGTTATGGCCAATGCCACAATGAGCATTTCAAACACTTTTATTAGGACATTTCTCAGCCTTATGGGACCTCATTATTGAAAACTCTACTCTATGAAAAGAGAGTTAGCGTACTGTATTATTCTGTAAACTCTCCAAAAGTGTTATGCTTCATTTACTTCTAACACTTCTTTCTCCCTGGATTTGGATCTGCTGCAAAATATATACTCTCAACTGTGACAAGAAGTTTGACTTCAATATCAGAAATAAATTCATTATCATTTCATTATTAGGGTGAAATGAACATTTAGATGCTGCTGCCAAAGGCTAAAACAGTTGGTGTTGTTTAATGCTGTTTTTTTGCGGATATGTCTTTGAAGAGCAGTTGAATAGGGCTACATCAGACTAAATACAAATTGAAACTCCACAAGCACACACACGTCCCCACAAAGTTTACACCAATTTTTTATACTTTGCTGGTCCCAGCTAAATATATACTTTTTGACAGTTTGTAAAAGACAGATTCAGTATGCAACATTAGTGGCAGAAAAATGAAGCCAATACAAAAAAATATCCAAGTCCTCAAGAGGAAACTTAAGGCAACAAAAGTGAGTCAATTCCAGCCTTGGCACCCATATGGTTTAAAATGCGAGAACTGAATGTCAATTCAGCAAAAGAAAATCAAATATACCCTATGTGAATTTATTTTTAAGTAACGCCCTCTAAAAAAACAGAGAAGTCAAAAGTCCCTCTGGTGTTTGTTGTTCTTAGTGCTGTGTTCACACTGACAGAACAGAATTTACTTAAGTTTACGTGTCACTCAGGGGCTCAAACCTGTTGCATTACATTTTTTATTCTTTATCCGGCCCTCCCTGTCCAGCCATAAGCTGTGTCAGTACATGGGGTAGTGGGGAAGGCCCCGCCTACTCAGGGACACTGCTTCTTATGGCATAATGATGCCATGATGTACAACTGAATGAGAACTTTGAGATGCATAATATTGTCTCTTGAAATTGATCACAGAATATTGTTTTCAGTTGTTTATTAGCATTTGTCTGCCGCTCTCTGTCTCACAGACTCTTGCATTTCTGGCGAACGGGGGAGCAGAGTAATGAAAAAAAACAAACATTTGTTTAAATCTGAAAATAGGCACTGAAGGAACTTAAAATAATTCAGAAAGAAAACATATGAGGAAACAGTGAGGTACTGTAATTGTTAAAGCAAAGTTTGGATCACTTTTATTTCAAAAACCACACCAACACCGTCTTTGATACAAGCACAGTGCTGCTTTGTTTGTGAATATTTCTCTGTCTCATTCACTCGTCTGACTGTTGCTGTAAACCTGTTTGAATTTGCAGCAAACAGAAGGCTTCAAGAAACGTTGGTTCACCCTCGACCACAGACGGCTCATGTACTTCAAAGATCAACTGGTATGTAGTCTTTACACGCACCTACACACATCACAAAGGCTTCAGTGTATGTATCAGGTACTATTTTAGCCTTAGATCCCGCATGAGTCACTATGTTTCAGTTTTCTTGATTTAAATCTACTGACAACAATGCTTGGATGGATTTTGTATTCAGAAATGATTCAGGTGATTATGGCTATGACTTAGTTAGGAAAAGATGATGTGATAAGTTTTCATAAGTAAAACATTATTGTATGGTAGTTGTTGCCATGACTTTCCATTAGGTATGTTGTGTATGCACCATATGGGCAAACTTGCACCATATCATCTGATAACAGTGCTCAACAATGTGAAAATTTGGAAACTGAGCTTCTGACTCATCAAGTAACGGGAGTGGAATTTTTTATAAAGTAGTGATCACAGAGACTCGCCTTGAGATGGGGCAATCCAGATTTCCCAAGACTTGGCTTAACACACATCAGATAGCTGAGCCACAAGATCTCAGCTATATTGCTGATGTAATAGTTCAATGAAGAGGTGCAATAATGATGGATGCTAAGTGACTGAGAAGTCCATTTTCCCCCCTTAGACAGACAAAAGAAGAAGAGGAAGTCTAGCGAAAATGGAAGCTCAAAGAAATTGTAATTTGATCACTCCGGAGCAAATGAATGCATGTAAGATGTTGTGAACACAATCGCCCACTGTTATTGTAAGTGCAGTTTATTCCCTCTGTACTTGCACTAGAGCCAGATTCATTTGAATGAATAAAGTTACATCACCTTCTAGTAACAGCGAAACTTAGTCAAAGAACTCCATCCTATGTTTTAGAAATGTACGGATACAATGGTCTTAGCATGTAGCTATCCTGCTTAAAGGTCTATGTGCTTTCTCAACCTCTGTCAATGGAGAGTGACTAAACAAAGAAGGGGGCTAACAAGCTAGCTAGATGCTATATAAAAGTTAAGTATGAGACTTTCTATTTGATGCTCAGAAGGACTTAATCTTCCCAGCATAATAACATGCTCATATTGATGATAGAGTCTGCTCTATAACTAGAACAAATATTTTTTGCAAAAATCACACATTTCCATTAAGTTGAAACAAAATCATAATTACCTTACCTTTTTTTGAAGATTCAGCACTTTGATACTATCCTGAAAAAAACATGTTGGCAGGCTCAGTTCTTTACACTTAGCCTATATTTGTTTTCCCTTTCTCTGTTTCTAGGATGCCTTTGCCAAAGGTGAGGTGTTTTTGGGGAATAAGGACCACGGTTACAGCGTCTTCCCTTGTCTTCCTGCTGGCACCCATTGCAATGGCGCCTGGCAACATGGTATCACAATAGAAACCCCTGACCGCAGCTTCCTCTTTACATGTGAAACGGAGAGTGACCAGCAGGATTGGCTGAAGCACTTCAATGATGTCTTGAGTGCACCAATGTCCCCCCAGGACTTCACAAGTAAGAGATAAACATTTTTGAATTATCTATAAATATTTGTTGGCTATTAGCCTATCCAATTGGCAGCTGATGATACTTTTTAGAAGAGATTCTCAAAAAATATACAGTATAAAGGCAGTATATCTCAAGTTCTAAGTTAAGGAGGACAAAGCACTTACATTTCAATAGTTTATTTGGCTTGCATCACAAAATCAGTCGCTTATGCGTGTAAACATTTTTTGCAGTTTGGGCCTAAGCACTCTGCTGAGAATCCTCATTGGTGAAGCGCATTGTCCCTCTCCAACTGATATTTAAGATCCAATTTGAACGTCTGTACAAAATGTTATTGCAGTCCATCCAAAGGCCTTGCGCTCTGGTACAAGATAGAAGGCAAAATGATAGAACAATGCAGAGACCATATGTGGGACCATGTGACACTGTTTTTATTTTCTTAATTTTACTTTAACTTAAAGTACTATCTATCAACTGCAACCATTGACTATATTTATTTCATTATTTTAATGTTAAACTGACAAATTAATGCAAATCAATAAAACACCAACACTACCTTCTATCAAATAATGTGTCTGCATTGGTAATAGAGTTTTGTTTTAATTGTATTTTAATTACTTGACCTCGATTTGTTTCCTAGTGGAAGCCCTGTTCAAGCACAGGCATTGATGGACCAGCGGCCCCTGAGACCATCTCCTTTCTTCTCAGCCTATCACAGATCTGACACAGGAACTACATCTGTTCTTTTACTGACTGCTAAATGGATTTTGAAATCTTGTTGTAAAATCTTGTTCAACCCTTTATGTTGGACGGTAAGGTTATTTTTTCTTTTAAACGTGAGAGCAGATTTGTCAATCTGAAATATAACAATATAACACATTGCTAAATCGAATCATTAAACTATTAATAATAATAAACAGATAATTAAATGGGCTGAAATATAACAGATTATCAAGTGACAGAAAACAATTGTATCTTTGGAGTCAGAGCTCCTTTTTATTTTTTCTACACTTTTTATACTAAAAGTAATCAAATTAATTGGTTGTTTCATTTTGACCTTATAATTACTCTAATTCCTTAAAACATTTAGATTCAGTGTAAGTATTTCAGCTAACTTCATGCCTCTTGTTGCTCATTGTTCTGTATCAGCATTACAAAATATGAACAAACCTTTTTTTTCCATATTTTGCAGCAGTATATTTAGACACACTACCTGTACAGTTTATATCATAAAAAGAACAAAACTTTTATCATTTTGGGTTTTTTTGTGCTGAGGCAAATGTTAATTTTGTAATTAAGTTTTTAGGAAAAAATAAGTGTTTTCATCATCAACAATAAAGGAGATTTACGAATGCCTTTGGATAGAAAACATGGAAACACTGTCGGCCTTTTCATGGTTTAACAGTGCCCCCATGTGGCAAACACAACATATATTAAGTTCTTGATGATAATGATAAAAAACAAATGTCCTTTTAACTATTCTTCTTAGATATCGCATAGATAAATGGTAGTTTTTTTTTTTCCTTTTCCAGTTTTGGTTATAGAAATAATTACACTAAATGTTGATCCACTAGTATTTTTCTTTGATTGTATGTTTGTTTTTACAAAAAAAAGAAATATGTCTGGCTGACAACACATACAACTATTGATGATCACTAATAAAAAATAATTTCTTTGGAAGTTTTCAAGAAATTTTTGGACAGATTTTTTTGTGCATATATTTGTATACATGGTTTTAGAACATTCACTATTTACTATTAATATTAGGGACATAACAATAATTTGAAACACAAATAAATTCAGTACAAATATGGACACTTTAAACAGATTTGACTAAAAGATAAATTGCAGTACTTCTTGTTAACCAGCAGAGGGCCTCTCGTTCAATTTCAGTAGCCAAAGAAGAGACGTACTGACATGGAAGAAGAAAGTAAAGCTTTTGAGGTAGAGAATACTTGTAAGAAAAAAAGTGTGAATGAATATGTGAGGTAAGCAGAAAAAAAGAGTTAAAATATTTCAAGAGACAGATGAACAAAACCAAATAAAACAACCACAGCGAAAGCTAGACACCAACACTTATGCTGGTAAGGGGTCCTCAGTCTGTTCGCCCCTTTCACAACAATAAACATTTAATAATATATTTAGGCAGTTTTTAAAACGTCTCGTCACATATTTGTGCAGGTATTAAAACTGTTAAAGATAAAGAACAATCTCTCATCAGCTTAGCATGCTCAAAGTCAGGTTGGAGAGATTCCATCAAACTGGTGGTTCTCTGTTTTAAAAGATAACGGATGGAGACGGAACCACTGAAAACTGTGATTGATTTTGCTATGAGCATAGAAAAGCTGCAAATGTCTCAAAATAAAATGAAAAACTTTACGCTCAGTGCCCAGTGCATCATAAGTTGACTCCGGGAGATCAGGCTGGTTTTAGCACTTGATAAGGTGTCTGTTATTTCATTGCAACACCAGGAAATAAAAAATAAAAACAACTGTGCCATGTGAATTTGCTTAAAACCAGCGTGAGCCAGCTCTTAGGGTTGGTAATGTTAATGATGTTGAGCGTCCTGTGTGCTGACTGTCAGCTCAGTGTCCGTCATGAGGCTGATGGGGTCCCTTAGCCTGTGATGTCACCTGCAAAACTAAAACATCTTGACCCTGAAATTAAGTACATAGATGAAAATGACATTGTTGTGCTGTTGTTCTCTAGCTGGGCATCTCTGTGCAAGATGTCCAGGTTTTGCACAGATTTCAGAACGGTTAATGCAGTCACCAAATGTGACGTTTCAAAAGCTGAGGAACTGTCTTTAGTCAGGTCTGCAGTGCTGTTATGTTTATTGATTTGCCTTGGCCAGTGACACTTGGCACTCTCATCTTCAGTGCACCCATGCACTCTTTGAGTGGAGGCCAAGCACACTGTAGATTTGGCAAAGTGCAAGTTTACGATGGCGACTGTCACTTCTGTCTGTATCAGAACTAGATCGAAACACGGACCCAAAATGCAGACCCACACTAGGCAGAGTTCAGTAAAATCACTGCTTAATAAACAGTAAAGGTATGTACACAGGTCAGCTGAAGATAAGGATTTCAGAAAGAAAATTGATTGATGAGGCACAGAAACGGCTACTGGGCGTAAAGGTGATTTATCAATAACATTTGCTGATGTTATTTTAAACATACTTTATTGTGTCACACATACAGTAAATCACATCCTCTATGTTTGACTGTTGTTCATGGAAATACGTGAGCCTGGTTATTGACATTTGCCTCTCCTCTGATTTTTAAGTGTCTGCAAACTCTTCAAGCTCTAAGACAGAAGCTTGAGGCCAAACGGGAATACCTTACGAATATATAGGCCCATGCTAGTTTTTCACCCTGGTGTCAAAGAGGGAGGACAGAGGGAGGAGGTGGGTAGAGGACTTTAACCAGTGGAATTCCAAGGAACACAAAGACAACAGACCTTTTCTATCAAATGTGGTCCAAAGATTCGAGGAGAAACTGAAGCTTCGTCTGCCATGAATGAACAAATTCTTTATGGAGATGTTGAGGAGTGAGAATAAGGGCTCGGAAGAAAGAATCCATCGTACTTAAACCAAGAGGACAGATTACATATTATGATTGGATATATTACAGCTGTCGAGTCAACCCTAAATGCTGAATTTAACCACAGAGGAAATGGGTGGACGTCCAGCGAGTGGATTATCTCTTTCACGTTCTAAAATTATGGGATTTTAGCCCAACTAGGAGTATCTACCTGGAAATATCCATAGCAGAGCTCTTTTCAATCACACCTCTGCACAGCAGGAGTTTGCTATCACAGACTTTGAAGTTGAAAAGAAGTGTCCTGATTCACTGTGTCACTCTACTGCTCTCAATGACCCTTGTATGACTTCAACCCCTGAAGCACCAAAAGGGAAATACTTGCTCTCTGTAACTGAGAATATCTCTCTAGTCACAGGATGGCTCAATCTCTGCTGGAGGCTTTAACGCTGACAATTTTGGAGGAATCTGGAATCATGGCTGTGTGGAGGACCTCGTTTTTTGGGAAAAGTGCTGCAAGTCACAGTCAGATATGCAATCCTTGAAGCTGTTAGTCATGTCTGTATCCTACTTAGATCTTATATGTGGATAATTATTTTCATCCTATTTTCATTACCTATTGCCTGCTAATCATATTTTTTCTACTGTATATAGTGTTTTCAAATTTAAACAAAAGAAAATATGACAAGCTATGTTTGCTTTCCTGTTGGACAGGTTTAAAAAAAACTCTATCTTTTTAACCAGCTCATATTTTAGATTCTGCAGACTTCTCATTTCATGTAAGAGCCAAATGCCATATTTTGTATTTCTGTGGAAATTGGCTCATTAAGACTATAACCTGATATCTGACATTGGTGAACCTGCAATGAACTGCACCCCTAATGCCACCATCGATCCACAGCTGGGACATGTCCTAAGCCCAGGTGCTGGAGATGCTGGGACCCAGGACAGTTCTGCTAGTGGTGGGAGCAGTGGAGGCCTTTGGGTGACCTCCCTTTTGGGTGCCACACTGATGGTCATGTGCGCCATGGGTGTAGCGGGCAACACTTACACACTCATTATTACTCGATCAGCCGCTTTACGACGCACAGGTTCCATGTATGTCTACATCATCAATTTGGCACTGGCAGACCTGCTCTACCTTTCCACCATCCCCTTCGTGGTCTGCACCTACTTCGCCCATGACTGGCTGTTCGGGGAGGCAGGTTGTCGTATCCTGCTGAGTCTCGACCTTCTCACAATGCACGCAAGCGTCTTCATTTTGGTTGCTATGAGTCTGGAACGCTACCGTGCGGTGGCTACACCCTTCAGTGCCCACAGGTCGTCCTCTCGCAATCGGAAGCTAGTTGCAGGGGTTATCTGGGGGGTAGCTTTCGTGCTAACGCTTCCCATGATGGTGATGATACACCTCAGGGAGGGTAAACCAACTGCGTCTGGTTTGATTAAGAGGATCTGCTTCCCTACATGGACTCCTGAGGCCTTCAAGGCATATATCACTGTTCTATTTTTGACAAGTGTGTTGGTTCCTGGATTGGTCATTGTCGGGCTGTATGTGGGACTCGCTAGGCGCTACTGGGCGGCACAGTCTAGCTTAGGAGGAAGCAGCCGGTCGGCCAGGAGGAGAGGACTCAAACAAAAAGTTGTATCAATGATATTTTGCATTGTTGTGGCTTACTGGGCTTGTTTCTTGCCTTTCTGGGGATGGCAGCTAGCTAAACTATTCTCTCTAGAGTCCCTCAGATCTCTGTCTCCAGCAGCCCATAATTATGTGAATTTCTTTGTCACATGTCTCACCTATGGGAACAGCTGTATCAATCCATTTCTTTACACTCTACTAACCAGGAACTATAAAGATTACTTGGCTCAGAAAAGTCAGTCTGTGGGTTCAAGTAGAGCTGACCCAGGGTCAGCTGTGACTACACCACTGCATGAACTTTAGTGGCTGTTTAAAGGATTACTTAGCATGTCACAAGCGGGAACATTTGTTTGAGCTTTAGCGTGGACATTTTTGTTCAAGTAATTTTGTACAAGACTAAAATAGATATTTGTGTGATACTTTTTATATGTAGTAGCACTTTCAACAAACTATGTTAAATCAGCAAATATATTTGATGCTACAAATTTACAGTTCTGTTGTCAACAGAGCTATTAAGGAGTGAAATTTAGCACAGCCGGCAGATGTTTTCCCTTATGTTATGAGTTATGAGTTATTATGTTATCCTGACAGATAATAATTTGATAGGATTTTTTTTTTTTGGAACTGTTTGTTTTCAAATTATTGATGATTAAAACATGTAGAGGTTTTTTAATTATGTAAAGTATCTTGCAAATGGTATTTTTTCAATAACTAGTACAATTTACAATTGCAAGAAATCTCTTTGTAATTGCTGAAGAAACATCTTTCAAATGTCTGACAGAACTTGCTCAGTTCTTTCTTTATGCTCCCATTGCCATCCAAAGTCAACACACATTTGAATCCCTGCAGGGAATGTGTTTGCATTGTGCCAGATTCCTCATCCTCAGGGCAAGGCTTCTTTGAGCCTTCATGCAAATTGTGTCAGCAGAATGTGGTGCATCTCACTTCTGTCGCATGTTGTAGCTCATTTTATTTAATTTGTCTGACATTAGAACGGAACACCTTTGTGTTTCCAAGTTTTCTTGAATTCTCCCCTTTTTTGTTCATAGTTGGAATTGTGGCTGATCTAACTAAACAATTTTAAGAATTTATGATATTTGCAGAAAAATGCTAAAATAAAATGGAGTCTTTATCAATTCATTCATCCAAAATTGTATGATTAAACTAGAGTTGCACTTATCGGATTTTAACTGTTTTAAGTCCCCTGAATGTGTGTCGATGCCTCCTTTAAGAGTCTTTGAAACATGCACTGTTTTAATAACTTCATGTTTTGCTGGCATTGAAATAAATTCAAACCATAAACTGATCGAAAGGCCCAATCAAATTCCCTCCCTCTGTCCTTCCCCTGAACCTGTTTTCAGACATTAACAGGTGCAGACTCCAAAAAGACTTGGACTTAGTATCTCAGTATACATTCCAATTGAAGCTATGAACATGGTAAGTGATGAAAGGAAAAGCTTTCCGCTACATAAACTCCACCATCACTATGCATTTGTACTTTTACACTAAACTCCATAACAAAGTAATTTTGCTGTCCCAGTGTGTACGTAGCTTTATAAAGTTGTTTTGGAAGTATGAGAGGCACGACCTGATGAAAAACAGCACAAGCATACATACACACACTTAAGTTGCTTTCATTATGCACTATTAAAAATAAATTAAACATTTCAGGCCAGCTGCCATTGAAATCTTCCTGAATTGCATGTTCATACATGAACCTCACAGGGGGAGACTGTCATGTAGGACCATGGGGGTCTCTCAGGGGGCTGGACACAATGTAAATAGTATGACGCAGACATAACCAACGAAGCAACAGAGTCTGACGCTGTAATGACAATTTTTGCCTTATATATATCAATAGCCCCTTTTTGACCAAAGGTTGAAAAAGCTTCTCTTCAAGGAAGTAAATGAATCCTGTGGCCCATTGTTGTCAGCATTTTCACAACTACCTGAGGTCCCAAGAAGATTATGCAAACCAGGCTGTGTTGCATTGCAAATAGATTTATTGATTAACAGTGGAAAGGACACGAGCGCTGTTTGCAAAAGGCGGATTAAAAAGGTTTGAAATGCTCGACTCTAAGCATAAAGCGAGATATAAGATTGCAGAGATCTTCCCTGAGTCATTCTCAAATCACGTTGAATAGCAGCGTCAGAGTACGTTTAAAATACAAACAGTAGACATGCATGTCTTCAATATATAGTTGATTTCAATTTCATGGAAAAAAGAAATGTAGAAACACAATTATAAGACGCGTTCTCACTTTCCTGTTTCATTAAAAAGGAAAAATCTAATAGAAGAGTACTCTAATGAAAATGTCAGAAGAATTCGAACTGGATACCTCAATCCCCCAATTTCATCAAAATCCAAAGACAACCTTTAAAGATGATAAATGATATTTGCCCCTGTAATGAATTTCTTAGAAAAAAATTGAATATTGAAATTATATATAATACCTGCTTCCTTCTCGCATGAACTCACTCTGATTCTCACACACACACACACACACACACACACACACACACACACACACACACACACACACACACACACACACACACACACACACACACACACACACACACACACACACACACACACACACACACACACACACACACACACACACACACACACACACACACACACACACACACACACCTTTATAACTGGAGATTAAAGTGTACCTAATGCCTTTGTTTTAGATTTCTTATTATGTATGTGTTTCAGTGTTTCATGTGTGTTGCATAAATCCGGTGGTGATTAAAAATCTTCAGATGTTATCTGTAATGTGGTGTATTTGTTTGAGAGCATGAGAAGTAAAGAGAAAATGAGACAGGGTCAACACTTGTATTTTCACAGAATTTATTAACAAACCCAGAGACTGATGTGATTTAAAGTAGATACACTGAGATAAAATGTGCTTTGACTCCCTCTTCAGGCCATTCGCTGTTGATACAATATCAGTAATCCATGTTACATTTCTGTGGTTATCTTTAGGGCTAATTTTGATATAAAGGACTAGATCAGCAACAGAAAATGTGGACAGGTCAAGCATCAAGGGTAACAGAGAGGTGAACCTCTACTTAATCTTGATGCCCACGATTCTTGCATCACCGCCGATACTGAAGTACTTGTACTTGATGTCACCCAGACGGTTAGGGAAGTCGAGCATGGAGCCGTCAGGCAGCTTGATGTAAAAACTTTCCATGCTGAGGTTGATGTGAAACTGAAGGAAACAGAAGACAGAGAAACACTGAGTTATCTTCTGCTGTCAGTCAAGCAAATTTCCAGTTTACACCATACAGTTATGGATGATTGAGATATAATATTGTCTGGTTATGGAGTCTTATGGGCCTATAAACTCCTTCGTGATCAACTGTCTGTTGACCTTACCGTCTGACAGCAAAGAAACCAAGGCCACTAATTACCGCCTTGTAGGGAAAGCCATTATCAATCTTACGCCACTTTTACTATAGATCAGTGGTTCTCAAACTATGGTACGCGTACCACCAGTGGTACGTGGGCTCCCTTGGTGGTATGCAAAGAAATCTCCACAATATAAAAAACAAACCCGTTCAGCATAGAACGACAATTTTTTTTTGTCATACTCTTATCTGTCTTGTATCTATTGAATTGTATTAATATCAAATGTGTTTTCCCCTCTAAATGAATCTAGTTTTTGCAACAAACAACTTTAATCTGCTCAATTTATGCTCACGCACAGACAGAAACAACAACAGGAGTAGGCCTCGCGTTTTGAAAAGTTCCACTCGATATTCTGTTATATTTCAGTACTGAAACAACAGCAAGCAGCTGTAGGCCTACATTAACATATTCTGTTAATGTAGGCCTACATTAACAGATATTCTGTTATTTATTGGAGTTCAGCACACAATCAGCAACAAGCGCTCCCTCCCCCTCTCTCTCTCTCTCTCTCTCTCTCTCTCTGTAGCTCTGAAGCTGATGTGATTCTGCTCTCTTTTGTTGTCTTAACACTCCGTAGGAGTCGAGAGGGATTTTTAAAAAAAAGACAGTTCTGCTATGTTGAACGCAGAGCCTTATAATACAGCAGCTCTGTTTGCACCGAGCCTGAGGAGCGCGCGCCTGGACTCTCACGCGCTCTCTCTCGCGTGCACGCAGCAATTTTATGAATAAATGAAAAATTAAATGAGAAGAGATCGGAAATATACTTGGGCCCAGGTATCGTCTTTGTGTGGGAAACACTGGAGATTAAATATTTACAAACAGGTTGTTGGTTTAAAGTTGTCATTTTTATTGTTCTGCACTTTTGTGTGTGCAAGTTCTAGCGCTAGCCCTTAGTATACCTACAGTGTGGCTGCCAGCAGTCAATAATAAATAATATTCTTTTTATAAATTAATTTGCCTCTTGCATGAAATGTGTGTTGAAATAGGCCTACAGTGTATTTTAACGTCTACCATAATGGTGGTACTTGGAGAGCCAAATATTTTCGGAGATGGTACGCAGTCTAAAAAGTTTGAAAACCACTGCAATAGATAATGAAAAGGTACTTTTCCAGTGGCCTGCAAATGTTTTATTTCAAATACAGCAGGTCTCTGTGTGAGCTGTATTCACAGCCAAAAGCAGATTTGAGCCAATACTGTTAAAACAAAGATAAAACCAAATATTAAACATATTTTTTTTAAGCAATGACAACTTTGCTTCTATAACAGAATATTTCCTGCATGAATGATTATCATATATATTTTCATATATAATTATCTGCAGTTTGATATCATTACATTTTTTGAAAATTCAAGGATTCAAAGAGGGATATTGTCATTTCTGAGCATATAGGTACATGAAGACCAACAGATTTAAATAATTTCAAGATCAATATAGATATTCAAAAGCAAAATCATAATTAGAATGGCTGATCTGTCTAAAGGGATGTTGAAGCCAAGAACCTCGCCTCAGCTCTATATTTTTGCATGCTTCTTTTTTTGACTCAAAGTTAGTTCTGGACAGCTTTTCCAATATGGTGACTGCCATTGTTGGGTTTCAAAACTCTGCTAAAGAACCCAATGGACTATGTCACTGGGATGACATCAATAATTTATATGAAGCAGATACATAATTTGAGTTTAAAGAGAATTGGCCAGAAGTGATATAATGTGAACTCCTGAGCGAAATAAATTAACCATTTAATCTTTTACAAATGGAACTTTTGAATTTTAAGCAATACAATTTAACCTGCCTCAGTTTGAAAAACTAGAGTTCTCTTTTCCAATTAAACCTTTTTGTGGAGAATAGCTCATATTAGCAAATGAAGACAGAAACATGAAACTGACTAATGAGTCAATTCACTTTTTTTTGCTACTTGTGCTACTGCTACACATAGACTATACCTTAGGTATATGTCTGTTTACAAAATATATTTTTTTAAATGTGTATATTGCCATTTCAGATCAATAAACTAGTGGATGATTGATCTCCTTTGTTCTGTACCCCTCACTTGCATGTTGCATGTCTGTATGTTCTGCAGAGGATCAGAGAGATAGAGAGAAACCGTTGCTGTTGAGTCTCTCCTTGAATGCATTGGATGGGGTGCAATGTTCTAAATGTACTTTGATTATATTCAAACATACACGACTTTGTGGTTCTGTTGTTTGGTACAAACTAAATCAATGTTTGAGAAAGCACAGACAAACTTAAAAAAAAAATCACACCTTGCATTCCTCCCACGCACAAAAGGGAAGTTTCCTCTCGGCATTCTTCACCCCAGTCTCCCCCGGACTTGGAGTTAAAGACAATAGTGTTGGTGTCACCGCTCGCATCAAAACGGGGATTGAAGTGCATGCCGATGTTCTCAGCATCATGACCGATGTTGATGGAAAAGCTGAGATGGATGCAAGTTAAAAAAGGGAGTAAGTGGATGAAATGTTAATTTTTCTCACAGTACACTGTGATAACTTACTCTTTATTAAATTAAAAAAGTTAACTTATTTTAAGTTTACTTAAAGTAAAACTACACAAATACAGAGACAATGGATTTGTCAAACATTTTTTAGTTTGGATAGAGGAGAACTTACGATTGCAGTCATCGGAAGGCTTTACACGGATCTTGAACTCCTGCCCTCTCCTTGAATGTCATGTCAGTGACTTTCTGCAAAGGGAAATGACAAAGAGGAAGAAAACTGATTGAAATAGATAGATAAATAGATGCTTGAGGCAAAACAAAAAACACATTTCCATGGATTCAAAGCAACATTCAAAAACCTTTATTACACTCAGGAACCACCAATTTTGGCTTTGACGACAGGTTTTTTATATCGATTTCTGTGATGCAGAGAGTCAGTGGGGGGTGGATGTCGTTTCTGTGTGTTCAGGAGTGAGATCGCTCTGTGGTAGAATTATCTTAGCTGTAATGATTAACCAGGGTGGAACTGTGGCCCTTGTGCATAAAAGTACAGAAATATGAAGGCGCCATATTTTTCGATGTATGTGGACGTTATATAGAGACAATAAAACCATAAAAAGCACCAATTTTATCTGCACACACTAAAAGATACCTATAACACATTTCCACAAAATGTGTGGGAGTGCACATCACAGTTGCAGAAACAATAAGTAAAAAAACAGCAATAACACCTACGATTGATTTTGTAACTCGTCAAACCCTCAGGATGTTTCTCGTAGTCAGTGAACCCTTTCATTTAATCAATAATGGAATACATTCCATTCACTGATTGTCCTTCTTATCTATATGTTGGGCATCACATGATTCCATGCGTGATGCCTTGACCCTAGGTACCTGTACCACACCCATAGTTACCTTAACTCATATAACCAACAATAGTCCATAAAGTCATACATTATCTCAAAACAGAACAGGTTTTGCAATAGGCTGTACAGATAAAGGTCCCGAAAAAAATTAAGTTAAGTTATACCATTTTATCCAAATGATTTAGTGGTAATGTGTATCATCCTAGCATTACAGCTCACAAAACATCCATGAGATCAGAGAGGCTAGGTACTTTGTATTTTTTTATTTTGTGAACTGTAACTAATTAAAGATCAGGTAAAAAGCCTTTCCCTGTTAAAAACACAGAGATATTTTACATTTTAGTTCAGCTTTGGTGTTCAATTGAGAAATATTGCCATGCCCTTGGACTGAAAGTTATATGATCAAACTAAATTAATAGAACTGAAAACTATACCTTGAGAAATTACAAATATTTGAATGCTAATCAATTATTTTCTCTCCTCTGTGAGGACTGAAATTTTGCTCGTGGCATTCTTATAAAATCATATTAATCACGGTTTAGTACTCTACGAATAGTGTTAAAAATTACTTGTTACTTCATAATTATGTAACCTCTAAATTTAACTTGTGTGAATATCTTTGAACATTTTAAGTGAAGTCAGAAAGCCAAACTCTTCGACAGTAAGCTATGGAGTGTGTGCATTTAGAAATGTAAGGTGGCATACAAACAGTAGAGCTCATTAGATCACAATTTCAACATGTTGGAGTAAATGACAAACGTTCTTCTTATGCGCTTGGTTTAATGTCATTATTAAGATGTTCAACCTATGAAAATCAGAAACTTAAAAGTAGCAAAAACAGATCTTCAGGACAAAGTTGACTAAACGTACTTTACTTGCATGTCAAACAGACATCTTAATGTGTGTGGGACATAATCTCCTTCATCACATTGATAGCAACAAAGAATTATTGAACAAAGCTTTTCACACCACTTACCATCTTGGCTGTCTTCAGTGGGGTGATCCTCGAGTGACGAAGCACTGCAGGCAGGTGAATGGTTTATATCACTACTGACGCTGGAAGCAGGAAGTAACAAACCAGTTAAGGGGTTGTAAAAATGACTAATCACGAATGACAAATTTGCTTGGGGGAAATTTTTTCGTTACACCAGCTCAAGAAAACAGGAAACAGGAATATAATTATCAAAAATAACAAGAAGTTAAAAATCAAACATATGTACATCAGTTACATAAAGGGAGAAAAAAATACAATACTAGAATGATAACAGGTATGTACACTTTCACTTGTGGAAAGAGTATGTAGTACAGGTAGTAGTAGTAGTAGTAGTTAGTAGAGTAGTACAGGATGTTCACTAAAGTTTGAAATCAGTAATAAAGATAAAAACTACCTGATATTGTTCGCAAAGTAATCTTGTTTGTATGATATCCACACAGCTTGTTGGGTAAAGTTGGTAAAACATTTGCTGCACCTCAGAAAGAAAGTGCCACTGCACTACTAAGCAAACTACAATTATTTGCTGTATATTTACTTATTACACATTTGGCATAGCTCCACATATATTAATTGCTGAGGTTTTCATACTCGCTCAATATAATGAAATAGATGTGTGATTTCAACTGCTGTGTGCCTTATGTCCTAGTCTGGGGACTTTTTGATGAGCAGCTGTCCACTAGGGAGTTCCCTGAGAACTACACAACATATTTTTTCAGTCTTCATTCAAACCACCATGGTGATAGTTGATATGAGCCTTAAAGCAAGCAGGAAATACTACCCGAAATTTAAATATTTTTGCTTCAACATTTAAAAATCACGTTGTATTTCCTCCTTCATATAACGCTCAATAATGCATGGACTTTGTTGACAGTCCATTTGTCTGAGTTTTTATTTTTTTTTATTTAAATGATTTTCAGAGCTTTTTCAGACATTTATTTGCTATTATTTGCAAACGTTTATGGTGGTTGGTGGTACTGGATTGGCTCTTGTGTTTAACCAATCATCGTACACTGACATATGGTATGGCAAACCCTTTTAACATCAAAATATTAGCAGTAATGGCAATTGTAGATATGAATAATTGCTCTTTGACATGTAGAATTCCAAGCTGACATATCCACAATGTAATTTTCACGAGTTACAATTCTAATTAAAGATATCTACATAACATTTTTTACTAGTGGAAATGTTCATTGTAGATATCTGTAACTTAATTACAACCAGTCAGATTGTGCCATTGACTTCTATTCAAATCGAATTACAGATATCTGTAATACAATTTTTACATGTTGTAATTCAAAGTCGACATATCCATAATGACATTTTGACATGTCCCAATTCTAATTCATGATCTCTACAACTCAATTCTCACGAGTAAAAATTGTAATTCTTGATATCAACAATTAAATTTTTACTAGTGACAAAGTTCATTTATGATATCTACAATTGTTCTTAAATTACAGATATCATAAATTAATTCTAGATCTCTAAAATGAAATTCTTACTAGTCAAAATTACTTTATTGATATCTTGACCTGGAATTGTTTCACATAAGAATGTAATTACAGATATCAAGAATTGAATTTCAGACATCTGAAATGCAATTCTTCATAACTGTAATTACATTATTACATGTAACAATTATATTAGAGATATCTACAATGTTCTTTTTAACTAGTCAAAATTGAATTGTTGATATCAAAAAATTAATTTCCAGATGTGAAAATGTCATTGTAGATATCTGCAATTACACACTTGTGAAAATGGTTTGATAATTTTTGTTATCTGTAATGGGAAATTACATTTCCACTAGTAACAATCCATTTTCAACATGTGGAAATTCAATTGTCGATATCTGTAATCATTTTTCGTACTAGTGAAAAAGTAATTACTGATATCTGCAAATCAATTTCAACATGTCATAATGTAATTTCTGCACATAGAAATGTATTTGTAACATGTAAAACTGGTTTTACAGATATCTTGAATTAACATTTCAACATGTCAAAATTACATTCCGAAAAGTTCCTGCAGTTCCCCCCTTAAGCTATGCACTGGGAATTAGTATATTAGCATACACAGACCCACAATTATAACTGACTCAAAATAGAGAAGATGCTATTATTTAGTCATTTCCATTCACTCTGACCTATTTTCTATTGTTGCATAATAACAATGAGTGAGTTGAATGTGTATTAAAAAAAATTATCAACACTAGGAGCAAATGCAATGTTGAAGCATACAGCTTGTTGGAGGGAAAATAATAATAAATACAGACAAATACGCAGAAATGCTAATGAAATACAGATGCAAAATGTTTGTGTGAAAACGTAGTTCTAGTTTCATGAAAACTGATAAATGCTGCTGTGGGCTTAAATGGGCTTCATCAATAACAAGCCTATATTAAGATACACAGTTATTTATGAAGAAGGATATTAAGAATGTTATGCAATGCCACCCAAGAGAGTATTTTAAGTCAGAAGTAATTTTCAATGACCATACCTAAATAGGCATTTAAAACACATAAATCAACAACAAATAGCCTACACAAGTTACACAATGAAAAACAAACTGAATGTAATTTTATCTGCTGTACGAATTCCAGTTCTCTAACAGACTTTTTCACTTTTTTTCCAAAAGGTTTTGGTTCATTTTGAAGTTTGTAGTGTCATTATGTCATCATACTCTCTGTTGTGTTTCTGTTTGAGGAAAAAATGGGGGGCTAAAAGTGGGTCAGGATTTCATCCGAGCGCTACATAGTGGGCGTGACGTAACGTACCGAAGCCAATCAGCTGCTTCCATTTCACTGTGGGCGTGGCGATCACGCAGAGACCAAAACACCGCAGCTAACCCGAATGAACAACTAAGTTAGCTTGTGAGCTAGCTAGCAACTTCTGGTATGTCTCCTCTTTAGAAGAGGTTCAATTATCTATCTTGTGAATCTTTGTTTACCAATTTGTTCTCCAAACGTTTGAAAATACGTTGTCATATTAAAGGCTATGTTGATTTCATCTATGTTATTTCTTTTAAAAGAGTTAGGTAGAGCAAGTCTTTGGTCAGGGTTAGCTCGCTAGCTGTGATAACAACATAACTTTCTGCTTCTTCTAAAGGTTGGTTAGAGAGCCACACACGTTTTTTTGTTTTTGTTTTTTACTCTCTGCGTTTGCATTGTGTCTGTTTCTAGAAATGGCGTCGTTATCGGCGACAGAAGCAGCGTTATGCCCGGCTGCAGAGTCCATAGTGCCCGCTTGTATGTTTGCACCGGACCAGGGATGTGCCGACGACCCGTCCGGGGAAGAGGGCTTTGAAGACGGCGAGGGTACTAACGGCGAGTCCGCGGATTATTTAAACCTATGCAGCAAGGTGGGGCCTCGATGCAAATTAAGCGTCGTTGACACTTTGTTTTAAAGAATCCTTTCCAAGCTGTGTTTTTGTTTTGATTTGATAAATGCATGCCGTGCAGTGACATAACAAAACGCATGCATGTTAAGTGCACACAGCGCTTTTCTGCTGGCTGTGCAGAAGACCACAGAGAGTGACACGTATGTGTGCATGTGTAGCTCAAAAGACGGGAGTGTATTTACTGTATGTGCACACTTTGCAGGAGCAGTCAAGGACATTTAAGACTCATCATTCACAACTTTCTACTGGTTTACAGAGCGCATTGCCTTATAATAGAAGCTTATGTTTGTGATTACTTATTGAAGTTAGAACTTGAAATTACTCACAATAGGCTTGATTGACTCCCTGTTTGGTTTGTTCACTGTTGTCTCCTGCCCTGTCTCTCACTTTGCAGATTGTCCTTGTGAGTCCAACAGGTGAACAGTATGACTCATTATTAAGGCACCTGAGGGAGCTGATAGATGAGGGCTGTGGAGAGACAATCTATGTGGTCGGAATGGGCTCAGGTAAGAATAAATAACTAGTGATTCATTTGTATAAACAGATAACTGTATATATATACAGAATAAATTGGCATAATACAAGTTTTTTTGTGTGTCAGAAGTTTCCGGTCTCTGACTTTAGTCAGAGTAGAACTAAATCACATCTGAGCGGCCTTAGATTTTATACAGGACAGCAGCTGTATGGAGAGCGAAAGAGCGACGATGCAATGGACTACAACACAGTCCTAAGTATCCTAATCCACAGTCTTATCTTTTGACACTGATTTAGCTTTTTATAAATCTCTATAAACATATACATGCATGAGTGTGTGCAGATAGCAAACTGCTTGAAGTTGTGCTCTCAAGTTTCTCGGCAGACTGTAAACAATGAAAAGAGATCAAAGAAGTTTTGGCCTTGGTAAACTGATGTATCAACTCATGGATATCATCTAGGTTCACTAAAAGCCCTAAAGTATTGGCTTTCATGTGAAGAAGTTACATTTTTTATCAGAAACTGGTGGTGTCCATGATTACTGTTCAAGGAGCTTAAGGATAAAGTCTTTAATTGAGCTAAAACTTGGTGCACTGACAATAATTAATTTGTAGCTAAGATATTGCAAGAACTAAAGCATTTAAAACATAATATATGTGATATTTAATGGGTTATTATAGTATCTGGTGTATTGTATATATTTACACTTTTTTTCTGTACAGCAAGAAGGAGGGTAATGCATGTTGAAAATGGTTTCTGTTGTTGTAGCCAGAAGAGTCAGCAGTAATGTATGTTGTCCTGGAACAACCCTTCCCATGTTATCAGCTCTGACTAGACCTCTACTGATAGTCGACTGACCTCTAGACTTGTGCTGCATGTACATCAGCCCAAAGTGCCCGAAAGATGTGACTTAAGTACAGTCAAAACCATAATAACAATCAAAAATGTAAAACAATTGACCAATCATCAGTGAAAAGAGAAAGAAAAGAAATAAATGCACCAATATACAGTAAATGAAGTTTAGCTAAAATTATCCACTTAAAAAATGGGAAGAGTTCTTACTGCACCTTGAAAAAACTACCGTTTGAAATGATGAGGTGAATTGTTGAGGCCTAATGTAGTCAATGTCAAGCTCAGCCTTGAAAATGATGAAATCAGTAAATACCCTGTAGCATTAATTGGGCAATTGCCTGTAAATTAATCTGTTGCAGCGAAACTTGCCACTGGCATAGGTAGTGCAATATTCATTCTAGTCATCTGGTGTGTGTGATCACAATATCCCATAAATGGCACCAAAGACTTCTAACATTTTACCAAGAGCAAGTACAACAAAGTATTAGACTGGTGGAGTTAAACACCCCAGGAAGTGATATTATAGCTTGAAGCTCAAACATAATTGGGATTTTAGACATTTTAAACAAAAGAGGACATTGGTTGACCTCTGTATAGGTGGGTAACACAGTTTCTTAAGTAGATTTAGGCTCAGGACACAAGTGTGTAGCAGCATTTGTCAACTGTGTGTCCCCCCCCCAGGCAGCTGACCCCATTCGTTTTGTGTTTACTTTCATTCTAAAACCCTCCACCACACACACCAACACGAGGGCTTTTGTCAACCCCGAGAGTTATTTCTGCCTGATACAGCAACATGTGTGACCCTTGTGGCCTGTTGGCGGGTCAAAGTGCATGTGTGAAAGGGGAGTCGTTTAGTCTTACTCAGCACAGTGACAGGCTGGCTGGCTGGCTGGCTGGCTAGAGGAGCAGCTAGCATATGGCCTACTGACCTTTTTTTGTTTCTGTTACTTCAGAGTCATAACTAGACAGTGAATTTCTTTATCAAAGCAGGAATTGACGGCAAATTTTGAACTAGTTTAAATGTCCTTCAGTTAAAAGACAACTTTTGTGTATTTGTGGGTGGTGTTTGGACATCCACATTGTTCTGTAAAGCACTCTCGATCAGAGCATACATTATCAGATGTGTAATGTTATAGTGCTCCTTCCCGTCAACCTCCGGTCTTAGAAAAATGAAGCTACAGGGAAGTGAAAAATCTTGCAGCTCCTCGAGTGTCCGCTTGAGGCTGGCTCCAGGAACACCGAAAGTCACATACACATGGCTGGCAAAAAGCCTTTTTTAAAGCATGAATAACCCTGTTTACAGCCTGGTACGAAAATAAATAGATCTGATTAGTTATTGTCATCATGGGCACACACTGTACGGGGGGGATTTTTCTTTTTTAATGGCTCTGTCTTGATTTAGAAAATGATACGTGTTATCCATAGTTATGCGCATGTTTGACATTATTGACAGGTGGCGCGATGTCACTGTTCGTCAAGAGGCTTAAATCCCGCCTCAGCTTCAGCTCTCAGCTTGTCATTAGGTTGGCTGAAAGTTAGGCTGGGACAGGATTTCCAGCATGGCGGGGCAGCCTCCGGAGCTCAGGCTTCGTACATTAATATTTACTTCAACGTAAACTTTATTATCCCCGATGGGGCAATAATTTGCTTCATAGCCTGCAGTGAATAAAACAAGAAAAACTGAATTACACACAATTAGCATTCAATACAAATCACTCCTTCCTTCCTTGGCCTTGTTTTGCCTCCCCCTTTATCCCCCTCTTTTGTCTCTCTCTGTAGATGGAGGTGACTATGGTCTGGATGAAAAGGACATGGAGGCATCAGTCGCCACAGTGAGGTCGCTCTGTGAACAAATCGAGGCTGACCTTATACTTCTGAGGGAGAGAACAGACACTGGGGGAAAGCTTCGCGACTACCTCATCCGCAGGCGTGTGGGGGAGCAGGATTTCCTGGAAGTCAGGTAACGTTTATACAAAAGGTTCAGGCAAGGGAAATAAATACCAATTAGCTCCCGTTAAGGTGCCAATGAGCTTGGCCTGTGTGGTGACTGTGGTTGTACTGGACCACTGATCAATCAATCAATCAATCAATCTTTATTTGAATAGCGTCAACTCATAACAAGTGTTATCTCGAGACACTTTACAAAAAGCAGGTCAAAGACCTTACTTATTGCTATATTACAAAGACCCGGTCTATCCATCATGAGCACTTTAGAAAAGCAGCAAAAGTTACAGTGGTAAGAAAAAACTGCCTTATTAAAAGGCAGAAATCTTCGGCCGGATCCCCGGCTCATGATGAAACAGCCTTCACAGGCTGATCCCCATCAGTCTAAAAACCTTTTGTTTTTTCACAATTAAAAAACAAATCCACATTTTGTCTTACTCTTCTATAAGTATCATTTTATCCAACACTGTCAACAAAACCTTCTTGTATGGTAATATACAGTTTGACTCTTGTGTGCATCAAAGTGCTAGTGTATATATCAGAGCAATTGTTTTATGTTACGTGTTGTGCAGGCATAATATGCTACTGGAATAAAATAACAGAATCCTTAATGAATTAATCTTTAGTGGAACATAATAATTCAATAAACTATGTTCATTAAATTAAAGCTCTCCACGTACAAGAACATTTACAAATAGTCATAAAGGACAACGAGAGCCACATCGACGCGCTGAAAACAAATAAAGCTGCGCGCTGACTGTACAGCTGGCCAAGCTTCTTTGAGTGTGTCGGCAGGTGCTCTTCTCTGACTGGTTAGTTGCTGCTCACCAATCTGGCTTCGCCAGCAGGCAGCTCGGGTGAATGGTATCAGCCGTCCATAAGTATTTATCAACCAACACACACACACACACACACACACACACACACAGACACTCCAAAAGACAGGTCAGTCACAGACACTGTGAGAGAGAGTGGGTGAGGCTGCAGCTGTAACAGTCAGCTAAAGCTTACTTGGTTTTTCCTCTCATAATGTATTGTTTTACAGCCTGGTCACATATGCCACCCGTCCCTTAAAATACGGAATCGTCCCGTATTTTACACTTTGATATTGCGTCCCGTTTTGAATCAACACGGGACGCCGTTAGTTCCGTATTTCCAAGATGCCTTGAACTCTTGGTTTGTTTGGTTCTTTTTTGGCATGAGCAATGAAAGCTCTTAAGTGATTGGGTGAGAGAAAGTCATAGGAGTCAGAAGGAAACATGTCTGCAGCTGCCTCTGATAACCGCACCATTGAAACGTAAACGGATGCAGAAATACAGACGTGAGTAGAAAGTAATGCCTGGCTTGACAGTGTCAGTGAAAATGAATATAATGTAAAGGAAACTATTGTAGGCCTACTTAATATATTTTCTCCAATGTTTATAGATAGGTTATTCCAGTATAGTTTGGATGGTGTGAATATTTTTCAGTACATAAAACAAGAAGATGACATTTATTTGAGCGAAATCTGAATTCACAGTATGGCCTGGGCGAGATATCATCAATACAACATCAATATATTGACAGTAGACACTTAATTGATACAATAAGAAAATAGTTCAAAACTGTATTAATAGTATCATTCATGATTTCATGAGAAAACAACAAAAACAACAGACAGAAGGACAATAAATGAATAAAAATACTATTCAATTTGTACTGTTTGTTTAATAAAAAATCTGTCATCTTACTGCTCCCCTCTATGTTACAGCAGTGTCAAAAGTTGTAAATTACATAGGCCTAGCTAGTAGTAAGCAGTAAGTAGTAATCTGCTGAAGTCCTGTTAGCTGCATTTCATTGTGCATACATTACTGTATCTGCCTTCACACTGAAATTTCGCATTTGTAAATTATTTAGGGAAAAAAGTGTTAATAAAGCGCTTAAAACTTTAAGTATGACTCTTAATACGTCATTTAAACAACGTTTTAAATCATGATTCACCACAACTGGTTCCCCACCCCACCGTTGGGCCAGTGGTGCTCAGGCCCTGACTGAGTTGCACCCCGCTGCGGGGTGTCCTTTATTTTTCTGCTTGGAAGGTGGAAACCCTACATACAACATGAGCGTGTTAAAACCCATCAAGTCTCTCTTTAAAAAGGCACATACATTTTTTGTCAGTAAACATGTTCATTTCCACTAATGCAATATCATTAGTAAGTATACATTAGAATCTTTGACAGTTCCAAAACTTTCATGGACGTTTGTCTTGTTTTAAAGAGTTTTAAATGATCTAACTGAAAAGATTAAGTACTTTCTCATCTATCTTTTTTTCCAGAGTGGCGGTGGTAGGGAACGTGGACGCAGGCAAGAGTACTCTGCTGGGGGTTTTGACCCATGGAGAGCTTGACAATGGCAGAGGCTTTGCTCGCCAGAAGCTCTTCAGACACAAACATGAGATGGAGAGCGGCAGGACCAGCAGTGTGGGCAATGATATCCTCGGTTTTGACCAGGAGGGACAGGTAAGCTCTACGAAAAGCAACACGGATATGATTCTTCTGGATTTATTCAGAGTTCTGGATTTTCTGACCTGAAAGTTTAACACACGAGACTTAAATGATCATTGACATTGTTTCCCACATAGACTTTACCTAGACGGGCCACCCATGTATATTTGCTGATCGTTTTGAATTATTCATTGTCTATGCTTATGGGATCACCAGTAAAGGTTATTAAACTAGCGGACGATCCACCAATGCTCTCTACCCACCGCGTAAGTGCGAGTAGTACATGTCTGAACATGTTCTGTGGGTTATAGGTGAGAGAGGGGTCAGGTTTTTCTTTAAAAATATTGTTGGGAAAATCTGTTGTGTTTTTTTTGATTTAAATTTTTTCTATTTTTGATTTATCTCACAAACTATGTAAGATATTTTCCATCTCTCCACTTCTGTTCCTGTAGGTTGTGAACAAGCCAGACAGTCACGGCGGCGGTCTAGACTGGACGAAGATCTGTGAGAAATCCTCTAAAGTCATAACCTTCATTGACCTGGCTGGCCATGAGAAGTACCTCAAGACCACCGTCTTCGGCATGACGGGACACCTGCCGGATTTCTGCATGCTCATGGTGAGAGAGAGAGAGAGAGAGGAGGGGCTTGGAAATGTTATGTTGCACTTTCTTTTGTTGTTTGGTCCTTCTTCAAGTCCAGGTTATGCAAGAAGAAATGATGAAACCTTCTTTTTCCGTCTTAGGTTGGCAGTAACGCTGGCATCGTTGGCATGACCAAAGAGCATCTGGGTCTGGCACTGGCTCTCAATGTGCCGGTGTTTGTTGTGGTTACAAAGATAGACATGTGTCCAGCCAACATCCTACAAGGTAAACAGATGTGTTACTATTGTGCTGATAGAGCTCATGGGCCTATTAGAGGAGAGCTGCATATCTCATAATGAGCATTACTGCTTTTGCATCTGACAGAGTGAGATAAGCTACTCTTTAAATCCCTTCATTCAGACATTATGTTGTGCTGTACTTTTCTGTTCTTTAATAAGTACAAAACTCTCCTAATGGTCGGTCAAGATTTATAGCCACAAACTGCTGGAACGTTTTCATTTAATGTGGAACAAAGGAAGTGCTGAAATGCATCAACAGCAAATACTTAAGAGAGCAAAATAACGAAGCAAGTGCGAACAGTTTAGAAAACAAGATATCTTCTTTCTCAAATATTAATAAATCTTATTTGCGAGGTAAGAAATAAAAGACATTTCTAACAAAGACCTGGTATTTTCTACAGTTTCCATATTATACTCCTCACATCGTGTTCTTTGGGAAGAAAGTTAAAGTTAAATATTTCTACAGTTTTTTCATCAGCAGTATGTTTTCCCAGACTCTGTGACAGGCTCTAAGTTTGTGTGTTCTTTCAATTTTTTTTTAGAAAGAGTCATGTTATTGAACTTTGTGTGTGTGTTTTATGTCTACAGAGACGCTCAAATTGTTACAGAGGTTATTGAAGTCACCGGGCTGCAGGAAAATCCCTGTGTTGGTCCAGAACAAGGATGATGTCATCGTCACGGCCTCCAACTTCAGCTCAGAAAGGTAAACACACAGACTGAAATTACCTGAGCAAAGAGGGAGAGGACTACGAATTAAAATGACAAAGAAGAAACAACAACAGAAAAGCAGGAAGATGAAGGGGGAAAAGAAAATTAGTATTTCTTTATAAAAACAGGTTCTGTGGTTGGGGTCATTAGTTTCATAGCAAGACAAATATATACAAATCGAGGGGCTTATACTTTACTGTTCCACTGCTGTGATTCTCAAACATGAATATGTTGCAAAAACATTTGAATTAAAATGGAATGATTTTAAAGATGTGTAAATGTAAGGTTAGCTGCGTCCAGACTTTTTGACCCTGTTTGAGATCAGGCAGAACATGTTGTGCAGCTTATGTTGAAATATCCATTCGGAGATTTCACATTAACAATATTAAAGAAATGCAGTTTTCACTAAATGAGCTGAACAACAAAGGGTTTCTGATGATAACGGAAAATGAAACGAGCTCTTCCAATGAAAAATCTTAACAGCAAAATGTTGAAATATGGCCTTTAGTGTCTTGGTTTACTGCTGGATCGTATCCTTTTTTTATTTGCACTAAATGTTTTAAGAACATTTTCAAATATTGTAGTGTAAGTGTGTGCTGGTTTACCATTCCTTGTAGGAAATATTAGATTCCAGAAGTCCGATTTCAGTGCTGCTGCAATTAAAACAGCTAAAGACATTTCTCATGTGTCCTTGAACAAGCAGAGCAGATGCTTGTTGACATTTATGCTTTGATCCCAAGCTGATATTTCACACAATTCTTTTAATTTTTTTTTTTTTACTTTGCCAAGGTCATTTTAAAAAGCGTTGCTTTCCTCTTCTCCTCTGACTCCCTCTCGCTCTGCAGGATGTGTCCAATCTTTCAGATCTCCAACGTGACGGGGGAGAACATGGACCTGCTGAAGATGTTCCTCAACCTCCTCTCCTCGAGGACAAACTTCAGCAACGACGAGCCTGCTGAGTTTCAGATAGACGACACATACTCAGTACCGGTATGAAATAAAACTCACCAGCTCAGTTACTCTTCTCTCTTCTGGTTCCTCTCTTTTCCTTTTCAACACAAATAAGTGTTTACCAACAGGAGCCTTTGCACCAAACAGATGGCTGACAGTGGTCCTGAGGGAAGACGACAGCAGAGTCTCTCTCTGCAGCTGCAGGTTACACAGACACTAATGCCAGCGTGTCTCTTGGAGCACTGTGGCATGTGAAAATGTCTTTTAGATAAACACTGAACTGAATCTGTTCTGTCAACAGCCTTTATGTAAAGCCACATTAAAGACAGTTCCCTGGTGTCCACAGCCAGACTGTCATTTCTTGAACTAAAGAGCAGAATATAAAAACAAGCATTTTCTGTACTTTTCCAAAAACACATTAAAGCCTTCTTATTTAGAGCATGCATTCAGTGTTCATTGGAGAGCTGAGTTTGAATGTAAAATTATATTGACAGGACATTTCAGCTCAAGCCGTCTGTCTTCGCAATTTAGGTTTGTTGATGTCACTGCATTAAAAGTGACAACAACATTAATGGCAGGTATCGATAAGTTAGAACACTTAAATAACCTTTAGTAGTCCAGATTTTAGTTCATGAAGCATTTAAAGATATAAATAAATCGTTTCAACTTAATGTAAAAAAAATACAAGAACTGTATTTCTATTCCAGTAAGACTATCAAACACCTCTTAATTTTTTTTTACAACATTAGCATGAGAAATGAATTCATGAATCAAATTGAACCACCTCATGGATAAATAGATATTTTTTACATGCAGTACTGTCTCGATCAATACGAATATTTTGAAAAATAACATGTCAAGTGTTTAAATCTGTTTTTTATAGCACAATTTCAGTATTCCCGTCGTTTATTATGGGCTCAATCACCTTAATTCTCTTAGCATAACGTTGATAAGGTTGTACAGATTATTAAGACAGCTATTAAGGATTGTCCAGAAATGACATCACAATAAAATGAAGTAACAATGGAGGCGCTGATGAAGCTGCTTGAGTGAAAGTCACTGTGGTAGAAATACAATTTAAGAAAGTATTTGTTTCTGAACATAAAAGGACATTTGTGTGAAATGTCTTGACATGTTTTGAGGTTTCATAGCTACAGCTGCTCATACTCTTCAGTAGAACATTATCAAATTGATATAGTTTGTACAAAACTTCACAAACAGAGGATTCACGCTAACAGATTCAGATAAGGCTACAACTGTTAACCTTCTCTTGGCAGGGCGTTGGCACAGTAGTTTCAGGAACTACGTTACGAGGAATGATACGACTCAACGACACGCTGCTCTTAGGCCCCGACCCGCTGGGCACCTTCATCCCCATCGCCGTCAAATCCATCCATCGCAAGAGGATGCCTGTTAAAGAGGTCCGCGGTGGACAGACGGCATCTTTTGCCCTCAAAAAGGTTTGGACTACACAATAAATGACTGTTTTCATACTGTAGGTACTTTAACAGTTACAAGACTACTAACAAAGTTTTATAAACTTCTGAAAAGTTTAATTATTCAGGGATGTGATGTGCATATGATTTTTCTTCTATAACTCTCTTAATAAGTTTCATAATTTATGCAAATCCCAAAGTGTGGGTGCAGGTAGAGTTCTGTCTCTGTTTCTGGTTTGGCTTCACTGTTCTTCCAAATCTCAACACCTCACTTCTGTTCCTCACCTCGTTTTTCTTCTTCTCTTCTCTCCACTTGTCAGATCAAACGATCATCGATAAGGAAAGGCATGGTGATGGTTTCTCCGAAGTTGATGCCCCAGGCCACCTGGGAGTTTGAGGCAGAGATTTTGGTGCTACACCACCCCACCACGATATCCCCAAGATACCAGGCCATGGGTAAGTGGGGACAGTGGAGACTCCAGCTTACGTAGCTCATGCTAAACCAACACTTAGTATTTCATTATGTTGTAAATGCTTTGTGTTTGCCACCTTCATGCCTAGCTTCCAAACATGGAGATCTTTGGAAACACTGCTGGCCCTTCTTCAGTTTTAAAGCATAGTGGTTGTGTTTTAGTGTCTTTGAACAGAAATGTGTTTAAGGATGTAAAGGTTTTGGTGTGGACTTTGCTTACAAAGAGTAACTGTGTCACTCTTTTTTTTTTCCACACCAGTCCACTGTGGCAGCATCAGGCAGACAGCCACCATCCTGACCATGAACAAAGACTGTTTACGGACAGGAGACAAAGCCTCAGTCCACTTCCGCTTCATCAAGACCCCCGAGTACCTTCACTGTGACCAGAAACTGGTGTTCAGGGAAGGACGCACCAAAGCTGTGGGCACCATCACCAAGGTGATGTAACTTATGGACACTGGATATGTTTCAGCTCAGATTGCAGCATGGTAAAGGACCCAAAACACAACAATGCAGGTTAACTGATTCTGGTTGTTTTTTTTTTTTTTTTATTTGTGATTTCAGCTCCTCCAATCAGTGAACACCCAGGCAGCTAAGGCCCAGCAGGCCAAGATGCTGGCCAGCAAGAAGACTTTTAAAGACGGCACAACAGCCAGTGAGGAGGCTGGATCATCAGCACGGCCGCCCAGTCCGAATGCAGCACAGCTTCCAGTGAGTAAATCGATGCTCTGTGAACTTTCAGTTTGTGACATGCAATACGTTTTCAAAGGTGAACAATTGAGACATTTACTGTTTAGGAAAGTAAAATGTACAGGTTTGCCTTGTGCTTCTGTGTTTTTTAAGCTTCATTGAACCAGTTAAAGGGATCATTTTCAATCCAGAACTTTGCACTCATTCCATTATTTTGCATAGCTGTAACCAGTGCAGTCATTTTTTAATTATCTCAATGATACGCTGGTTAGTTACTGTTCCTGACGACTTGATTATTACTGGAAAAAAAATTAAAAGAGGTAACGTTTGAGTTTCCATGAAGAAGATGAACTGGAAAAGCTTGATTTGTTTCCTTTCCACAAACACTATAAATATAAATTTAAACAATGAAAGCAATGTTATATATTGGAACTTGTAATGCTGCTCAAATTTGCTTGTTTTTTGTGTAAACTGTGTGTCATTGTCATGGCTGCCTTTTGTTCCTGCTTTTTAGTGTCTTGCCAGAAAACCATCTGTTTTTCTGTCCTCTCTTTTCCATCCCTCAATGATGTTTTTTTTTCTTCCTCCCTTATTAATAATTTTTTTCTTCTTACAAATCTCCCGTCATATGCCTTCTTACCCTGCCTTATATTTCCTGAGGGAACCTTCCCAAGGGATTAATAAAGTTCCTATCTATACTTGAAATCCTGCTTTCATCCCAACGTCTGGTTACACCTGTCCTCTGGCATCATTCTTTTTCATTTACTCACGTCCTCACTTCACATCCCTCCCTCCTCCTCTCTACTCTCACTCCTGCCCTTCATGCTCTTTCCTTCAACTTTAACGCTGTACTTGTTCTGCTCTCCTCTCTCTTGCTTCCCCCCCCTCCCTCTCTCCCTGTCTTGGCACGCTGCGTCAGACAGTGGCAGAGGAGGAGGCTCTGTGTAAAGACGGCAACAAAGAGAACAAGGTAAAGAAGTCCGTGCAGCCTGCGGGAGTCATAATGAGGTCCCTGTCTTCTTAAGCTGGATGATTTTTTTTTTTGTTGATGTCTCCCCTTTTCTAAACTTTAAAAACAATGTTTCCTGGAGAATGCACACACTCCTTTATACCTGCATTCATAGTTCTGCAGAGTGACACAAGGAAGCCACTGCAATGACATTGCAGGGTTTTACTGTTGGCCTCTGAGAAGCTTCACTTGTATGATATTAAATGTTTAATTAATGAAGAAGATTCTGAACTTACTGCACGCTTGTAGATCTTCAATTAGGAACAGTCAAAGTACTTTTCTTAAAAGAGAGAAATGAAGGGCTCTCTTTTCCCAAACTTGTTTATTGGTACTCAATTTAAGGTTCACCCTGGTCGTTGAACTGAATAATTAACATGTTTTATGTATTATGACTTTAAAAAAGGCTGCAATTAATGATAAAAAAGGACACTGAGTGTTTCATAAGAGAAGAACTTGTGCGTCTGAAGAGTTTTCTGAAGTGTAATAGAGGTGCCCCCTCCCTCCCCTGGCTGTTTTTATACCCAAACATCAGACTTATATCAGCTTTCACTACTCTCTCTCTCTCTGATGTTTTACCTTTGCAAGACATAAAAACGTTCACTGTTGACTGTGTTTTTTATTGTTTGAAGTCATGTCTCAATATATTTTGAATAAATCAATCAATCTTTAATGAGTGATTTTAGTAGGTTAGTGAACCACATTTTATGACAGTTCAATTCCTAAAAACAAGATTCACAGATTTCTTAAGTTTATACAGTCTTTAAAGCTTTTTATTTACATGTTCCATTTGTCTGAGTGAAACAGACCTGTGGAAAGACTTCTGCTTTAAGTAAACACCTCGACAAGGATGAGCACAGAAGGAACATTTAGACACTCGGTATGTAGTTCCTGCATCGCTCTGTGTGCAGTGACCCGGCTCAAGTATGCAGACGTTCGACTGATCAACTTGGGCTACTCTGGATTCATGATTTGAATTGGTGTATTTAAAGAGACAGCGTGAGAAATGACTCCACTTAAATTATACATAACAACCCCCCGTCCCCTGCACGCAAAATCAAAGTGCCTCATGAAACAGAAAAGCTCTGCATATTTAATGAATGACAAAGTTGTAAAGGAAACTCTGACCTGGTGTGATTGAACTTTTTCATTTCATTCCTGCCCCTACTTAAAGGCAGATATGTGATTTTTTTCATCCAGCAGATGTCGCCCTTGAGCACCAGCATTAAACCAAAACAGCTCGCGCTGCATTGTTGTGTTAGCATGCTAATGCTAGCGATCTTTATTATGGTCGTATCTTCACACTGCATGTAAATTTACCTGAAATGACCGTGATCTAGAAAAGCTTACATGACATTCAGTTAAGCAGTGAGTACAGTATTGTATTCTTCTTTTCTCTAGTCCCTCAATTAAACAACTTTTATACGCCGGGGGATGAAATGGCAACAAACTGAAGATAGGACTCTGAAAACATCACAGACAGTGGGACTCGGGTGTCACACTCATTGTAGACAGTCATGACTCAGAGTTATTTTCAGAGGATATATTTGATTTCTGCTACATATAAGTGTGAAAAATCGCATTTTCTGCCTTTAAGGACTATCCATAACTAAGTGTTTACCCTCTTAACCCTTTAAAGTGAGGAACGTCTTTGTTTCAGAGAAATGCTTAATCCTTAAACCTGAACCATTATTACCTTTCTCAACCATTCTTTAGGTTTAAGCCTATTTTAATGTACAAGAGGCCTCACTGTTGATTTCCTCTCCACAGCTCAAATCTGGAGGCGGTGGCCGCAGGAGAGGCGGTCAGAGACATCGAGGGAAAGGCCTGAATGCTGCGACAATCTCAACGGCGGTTCCTGCAGGAACAGCAGGCACAGCCTGAAAAACACAAGCCTTTTATTTCTCCTCAGCTCTCCTCGTCTTACAGGGAGGGAAAGTGACAGCCATCTGGTGGTTGTACACAAAGACTGATGCTCATTTCTTTAACATAAAGGATTCCTCAACTATTGCGAAATCTTTTCCCCTTTTTCTCAATTGAAAGGTTCATTGGTGTTCCAACTTGTGGTCTTCTGAATATGATAACTTTGGGTTTGAGTTTTATTAGAGTTTTCTGAATTTGTAGACACCATGGTTTTTTTATTTTAAACAAACATTTTGGGTGTCCATCCTGTTTGTAGTTCATCCGAACTTATTTGACTGCATGACCTGTTTTAACGAGTAGAGGCAGAAGTCACTTTCCCTCCCTCCACAAACTGATTTATTTTCTGTTACTCCTGTTCTTTGTCATTCTACATCCTCTCACTTTCTCATCCCCCTCAATGTCCACTAGCTCACTGTTACATTAGTCATTTCAGGAAGTAGACTGTGTTCAGCAGTTGAAAGTTGAACAGTAATTTCTTTAAAAAAAAAAAAAAAGCTACTCCACATTTATTTGGGAATTCGTTGAACTGAAAGGGAATTGATGCCGATCATCTGTTGTTTCTGTTAAAGGCAGAAATAAGACGTTTTGTTGGTTCAGCTTACCATTCTGTTTGGTTGTCGGTTAAGTTGTCCTCTGACTAAACAACTTTTCTCATGTTCTGAATCACAAATCAAGCATTTGAAGCCGAGCTTCATCCTGTGTGTCCTCTTTGCTCTGACATCAGACATCATCAAACTGATTTCTTATCCAGGTTGGCAAAAACTGACAATTCATCAACACCATGGTATCGACAGGATTTATTAGCAGTTCTGATATCAGTCTTTTTATAAACTAGCATTAACTTGATGTCCAAAATACGGGTATCTTGACAACCCTTTGTAACAGTGCCAAGGTTTGGTGAACTTTGAAAACAGAAACATCATTTTTGTCTCATGGACCGATGGTCACTCCAATGCCCTCTTTAACAGCAATTTAGTGCAAAACAGAGTTCACTGAATGGGAAAGTTAAATCTGTTCTGAATGATTATCAACATTGTGTTCTCTGTGTGAGAAACATTTTGTAATACTAATAATAATAAAAGTTCATACACACATGCAGCCACACAACAAAGGATCCAAGATTCCTTTTGTTTTGTGTCAAAGTGGTTGTGTCACCAGTCACAAGACCATATAAGGTCACCTCATAGTTTGCTGCAGGTATAAGCACAGAATACTGCCATTTTTTGTAAACACCAAAAAGTCCAAAAGCTGATTGAAATATTTTTCCAGACTTATGTATCTACTTTTATGCAAACTCAAGTTGTGTCTAAAGCCAAGAAGAACATATTTGATTGACATCAAAACATATTGTATAAACAGGGGCGACACAAGTCGTCGTTTATATTCACATCACCTGAGGCACGTTTAAGCAGTGTCAGCCGTTTTCAGCTAACTGTACATGATTCAGTTTGGATACACCAGTGGTCAATCAGCCGGAAATATAATGAGAAACATGCTGGCATGCTTAAAAAAATGCTCCTCAAAAAAAAAAAAAAATGCAGCAAACAAGATAAGAATGTAATTTTTCTCAGATTGACTCTTTCAAGCTGAAGCTTTGAACTCATTGAACTAAACACTTGATCAAGTCGCCATAAGAGACAACAACGACCTGTTTTCTACACTTTTTCAACTGGTGTTATAAAGTTGTTCATATTATAAAGCGAATAAAACAATGTCATTGCTTTTTCACTTTGATGTCCTTATCTTCCCTTCATATACAGTATTACCATTTGTTTCTGATCAGTACTTTCTTACTAGTTTGGGATGCAGAATTACAAATTGTGAGAATATAACAGATGTACTGAACAGCTTCCCTTTCCTATTTCTGTCTCTTTATAAAGATCTCCACAGTTTTTGTTTCGAAGGGACATATTTGTATGAATGTTTGTTTGAACAGTTTTGCATACGAACTGAGGATAAAAAAAAAAAAATGCCAGTTAAATTAAGTGATGCCACTTTGTGTTGTAAATCCTTTTAAATAAAGATATTGTTAAAAAAAAAAAATGGACATAATAATCCCATATATTTCTCATACCATGCCGGCCGCCTAAAACACTACTTTAAAAAGAACTTCTTTGTGAAAGAGTCATGGTTCAGGTATTGTTCCTGATCTATGCAACTGGTGCAGCTGGTGATATCTGATTATCACGGTGCAGGTTGTTCCCTGATCATATTCTGGATATGTCTTAGTCCTGAGTCAGGGAAGATTCTTTCTGCGGCCCTGGCTATCCATCACAGTCCATTTCGGTCCATTTTGTGCCCTGAAGCATATAGAGGTTATCTTAGAGGGTTACATATCGTTCAAAGAAAAATACAAATATAGGCCTATTCAAAAAGAAGCTCTGCCATTCTAAAGAGATCATTTTACCTTCTTAATTGTAGTGCTAAAGAATACATAGCATAAACTGTATTCTCATAGGTTAAAAGGTGAGCGTGTGAGCAATACTGTAAAGGCAGTTCTAAATCTGACTTCACAACTCACTTTGTAGTTTTTCTCCAAAGAACCCTTTTTGTGGTTTTGAAACACTTGGCATGGCAGCCCACAATCGATGCAAAGGGCTTACAATCAAAATGTGTTCAGTAGTTCAGAAAGAGTCATCCTCCAGATATAATAGTCTTCAAACACCCTGGGCATTAATATGGAGTGTAACAGCTGATGGCTTTGGTAGAATTTCAATCAGAGTCTGCCCCCTGAACCTGTCGGCTCATTTTCACAGGTGGTGTCTGCCCACATGGTATTTAAATGAAAATAGGAATAGTCGTTGGTGCAGAGCCTGGGATCAATGAAAGGTGTGATGAGTTAAGATGGGGGGGTCTTTAACAGTTTATAGGCATATTAAAAACAACCTCTTGCATCGTGTCTCTCCGTTTACTCCTCTATTCCCTCTCGTGTATTTATCCTGACTGCTATTAAAACTCACCAAAGGTGATTCAGTCAGTGCCCAACAACAGCTCCACCATCTCTCTCTCTCTGATTGTATTGACTAACACAGCATGCATCATCACCAAGTCTGCAGGACTGAATGTCACAATATGCAGACTCATTGTATCATCACAAGCATGATATGGAGAGACTTCATTATTTATTTTCTGGTGATTCTGAAGGGACAAAAAGGAGGTTCTGAGATCAACACAATAGTAAAATAAATATATCAACCAAGGAGTTAATATAGTTATTTTCTGCAACATTCTTTTTTTTGTGCTTTCTTTCTTTCTTTTTTGCTTTATATTTCCTAATATGTTCTGCAATAGTCTTGCCACTTTTCGTTGTTGTTGTTTCTCTGAATCGCAGGTCATTGTAACAACCTGAGCGAAGTCACGGTAACCAAACCAAGCCTCAAGCAGAAAGTTGTGAGTCGATCAGCAGCCTCATGACACCTCTTATCTCTGACTTGGGTTTTAGATTTTGTGGAGCCGACTACCAGCAGCAGCAGCAGCAAAGAAAGCCTCGGCGTGTTTAACTTGCTTTGTAGTAAAGCCTTATGATGGTCTGTTGTCAAGCTCTATTGAATCTGTTAAGCATTCTGGCAACAAATACAGAGCAAGCAGGCGAAGGAAGTATTTTGCCTAAGGCCTAAATGCACACAGAGTCTGTGTGTGTGTGTGTGTGTGTGTGGACGGTCAGCTGCAGCAGTATAGAGATGAACATGTCCACTCTCCCTCCGACTCCATATTTTAGATCAATAGGATGAATTTGTGCTTAATCTTTGTGGCAACGTTTTTGTTTGTTTATCTCTGACCTAAACATGACCGCCTCTGAAGGCTTCTGGCTGAGTGACAACTCAGTCAATAAGTTCACACCATTATTCATGAAAAAGCCAATATTAGTGGGTGGACACCACAGCCTGCAGAGGGACGATAGTGGAGGATTTGCTCCAATATGAACAATATGAACTCTGGAGACATTCATCAAAACGCTTTTAATGATTGGGATTTATGTTTTTGATATAACTTTGCAAAACCATTCTCATATTTATTGCCACATATAATATACATAGTAGCTTGTCAAAGTTGAGTTTCTGTTTATAGGTATAGTTTTAACTGTTTTCACCATTTGCAGCAAGAAAACTACATTTTTCCAAGCACAAAATCCAAGAAATCTTAAGCCGTTCAACCACCAGTTAAAATAATTGTAGGGGTGTTGGTGTTATTTAAAGAAAATCTTCAATGAGACTTAAGAGTAATCCAGCTCAGTCTGAAAACCAAGTATGACTAAGCAGCAGCTTCATCTAAAGAGGATAAGGCAGGGGAAAGTTTTCCAAGAAGGATGGAGTAAAAGTTTTAATTTCCCCTGGGGAGTCTCTTCTTTCTCTTCTCTATTTTTTCCTCTATCTTAATGTCTGAATTACACATTGGATTTGTGCATTTTTCCATTACTGTAATACCAAGAACACATGTGAGTCTCATCGGCTGGCTACAATCCCTGTGTGTCCCGAGTCCCTGTGGTCAAAGTATTAGAAACTATATAAAATCATCATCATATCATGAAACAGCAGTTGGCAACATGAATGAGATTTACTATACAAACGGCTGATTCCATCACTGTGAGGCGATCCATCAAAGAAAAACCGTCTCTGTGTGTGGATAAATATCACTTATTTGATGGAGGATCAGTTTCACCATCCGTTTTTTTTAATTAAAAGTTATTTCATGTTTTAGCTGCAGGCACTTGACATTAGAGTAGAGAACACTTTGTGGTGACTGAAATGTCTGGGCAACGTTGTTTTGATTTTCTAAGATCTGGCACTGGGACAAGATTGCCCACTTAGAAGATACAAATTGAGTCGATGTCTTAAAGACGTTGTGTATATCACCAAACCATCAAATATTTGCATCCTATAGCTGATCTTACTGACAAAAAAGTTACTCACCCCTTCAAAGCATTTTGTAAAGGCCCTCATTGAACATAATCAGGCTGGTTAACTACTTTCAAATTGAGAGCTCAACTAAATGAAGGTTAAGCCTGCAGGTTCAGGCTACTGGAATCTGGTGTTTCATTTGTCTCAGCAATTTTTATCTAATGCACACTTTTAACTATGTTGGGCTCTGCATGTGCTCTAGTAAATGTCCAGAACCTTTCCAAAGTAAAAAAATAATAAAAAAGATTTAAACAAATAGAAGATTGAGATTATAGAAAATCTAAGGAATGTAAGAAGTAGGTGAGACATTCAGCGTCTGATTTAGTCACTGTTTAATGTCAGTATTTGTGATAAGTTAATGGGAAATAAAGACCATTAAATTGCTCCTAGCGCATGACTAAAAGATACTTTTTTCTTATTTTGACAGAGGCATGATCTAGAAAAGAGGGGCAAACTCTTAGTTAGACAGTGTGTCTGATCAACTGAAGTCTTTTTGTACAAGAATGAATCCAATCAGTTCTAAACCATCGGGTACTGTTCAGTTCAAGCCTCAGTGGTCGATGTTTTGTATTTGATAACAAGAGTACAAAAATACAGCCTTCACATTTCACGAGATTGTGCTTTCATTTTTAGTTTGTTCCTTTGAAAAATATGTTTTGTATATAAGATTTATGTCCATAATGTAGGATATTATGATTGAAAGGTGCAAATTTACTGTATATTCTATTTGAAACAAATCTAGTCTCCATGTGCTGCTGGTTTCCTGTCATTTGTCTCCTAGGTTTCACTTCCCGAAAGTGGGTTCCAAGTTTGGTCCAAATTGAAGCAAATTTGAGAGCCTGGATCTAAAAAAAAGATAGTTTCTTATCAATTAGATACCTCTCCAAATCGTGCCTAAATGCAAATGATCTGTTGTGATGTGAATATTAAGACATACAAAAATTAATTGACTGAATAAGTGGTGTCTCTTCCTAACATATTAAAGTAGCAGCTGTCTTTGTTGCTCATAGTACCTTTTAAAGCTCTATCATGTTACCAAGGTGTGGGTCCTTTTCAGGCTGTCAAACACACAGATGACTCAAAAACACACAGATGACATTGTGCATTTTTCTACTTTTGCCCTGGCTCATACCAAAACCATACCTTGATATGAAATATATCATAACCTGTCAATATCAGACCTTCAAATCTTAAATGAATGGATTGGTGATTCTGATTTTTTGAGGCTTGTTTAATATTCCTCCAAGCTATCTCAGGAGGGATGGAACTATATTGTTTTTTCCAGCTTTTTTGAATTGGAAGGGGGTCTATCCAGACTTTTCTTTATCCAGCAGTATATCATTGATACAGTTCCTTTGGTCATGTTTGTATTGTATAGTTGGTTTGCAAGTTCATGTTTAGGTAGTTCAGAATTCCATGGAACTCCTTACTCCTTTAAGGCAGAACGGAGCTGCAAGTATAAAAAGGAGAAAGCAGGTAAATTATACTGTTGCTGTAATTCTTGGAATGTACAGAGACAGTTAACATTAAACATTTATCCAAGTAAATGAATTCCATTATTTGACCATATTGAATAAGCCAGTATCCGACCACCAAGCAACGACTTATTGTAATGGAATATTGGGGTGTAATAGTGACACTTTTTGTTATATTTTGTATGGTTTGTTGCTAGTTTCCATGTAGTCAAAACATTTTGAAATTATAGGACCAAATCGCACTCTCACTCTCTTCTCCCACTCTTCACTCCAATACCAAGAGTTCATCTCTTTTAGGGAGTCCCATAATTCTTTAAGGGAAATGGGTGCTCCTAAATTGCTTGCTTCTGCTTTG